CGTCCCCGGCAACCGCGGAATTTCAGTGTGTTGAGCTCGTGTCCGTCCCGTCCCGTGCTCGGCGTTCGGTCCCGCGAGCGGCAGAATTCCAGAGGTCCGGGTAGCGGCGGCTTTCCGGGAGTTCCGGCTCGTAATGCGAGCGGAGGGGCATCGACCAGATCGCGCCCCGCCGCCGCAGCGGAGCATCTGGTGAGTTTCACTGCAGGTGTGTTAGTTACGCCACGCTTTGCATGTTGTAAGTCAGTGCGTCCTAAGATCGCTGTTAGGTTTATCTTTAAGCGGCTTCTATCATAGAACGGTTTGGGTGAGACCTTCAACGATCACCTCTTTCCAACCGCCCTGCCACGGACAGGGACAACTTCCACTATCCCAGGTTGCTCTAAGCCCCGTCCAAACCGGCCTTGGACAGTGATGGGGCAGCCAATGTTCTGGATAGCCTGTTCCAGTGCTTCACCACCTTCACAAGGAAGAATTTCTTCCTCCTATCCAGTCTAAATTCAATGGCCTTGCTAGTTAGTTAAATGTAATCAGAAGTTTGGCAGGAGAATATGACACAACTTTTTTGGGTAACACACACCAAACATCTTGGATCCTCAACCAAACATCTTAAATCCTCAACCAAACATTTATTCTACTGTTTTCTTTAATTACGGGACTCCTACAAACCACTCTTATGGCACTAGGATATTTTTTCCTAAGTGAAAAAGCATGCTTTTGGAAAGTATCTGTTTGCGTGCTAATAAACTATTGATACATATTTTAACAGATGAATATTGCATGTTCAAAATCATTAGCATTCACAGGTAGCACTCTTCTGATTTAGGTGTATGCTTTCTTTGTTTTTGTGTGGTTTTGGTTTTTTCTTTTGTCTGTTTGTTTTTTTTTATTTTGTTTTCCCTCTGTGTGACTTCAGAGTAATTTAAAGAAGTTTTGAAACTTCAGAATGATGTGGATGTGACAGAGAATATTTTGATTATGTTAGGAGACTAATTTTTTTTTTTTTTCACTACAGCTGTTACTTGCTGGGTAGAGTAAGTGAATTGTATTCTGGAGATGAAAAAGCATATTTTGATGAAGTCTTTCACTTATACCTTTTTTTTTCCCTGCTATTCATTATTATTATTTTAGTAGCTGCCAAATAAACTGAAGTATGTCTCTGCTACAGATTTTAGTATTTTTATGATATAGAAAGGGGTAATCTTTGATTCTTCTCAAGTAAAAATATATATGGCTAATGATGATCTTCATTTTTCCTCAGTTTATAGACTTCAAAAACTGCTTATTAGACATCACGAGTTCATCCAGCTTACTTTCCACAGATGCTAACTGGTGAGCTCTACTTCCATATTTTTAAGTCTAGCTATAGGGTTCCTCTTTTTATGTTTTATTTATTTTCCAAATCCCTGAAATTATATAGTTCAGATCAAAGAAGAACCAAGTATGGTGTGATACATACAATACAGTCACTAGATAAAAAGAGTTACTTGCAGGTGTGCAGACTAGCCCTCTGGTTTCTGTTCTTATAACCTGATAAGAGCTTGATCTTTGGTACAATAAAAGTAAGCTTTAATTCATTCTGTTTATCTTAGCTGTGAGAGCTATTGTCTCCATTTAGTCTGACTATACAAAACTGTCAGTTATATAAGAACAGTGAAATTCCACGAATAAGAACATTGCTTAGGAAATCAGACCTGACTGCTCTTTCAGCAAACTTACAATAAAGAAAATATTTATAATAAAGAAAATTTCTCTCTGTTACAAAATTCCTCTACAATTTTTTTCAGTTCTGAAAGAAAAGCAAGTGGAAGCTCTTTTTCTGCAATGGCCTATGTTGACTGTAACTCGCTAACCTGTGAAGTTGAATCTAGTTTTTGAGATACAAATAGTCTTTTTGAGGTGTAGAACTCAAAAGCTATTTCACTCGCTCATATGCTTTCCTGAATAACCTTAAAGTCTACTAAAATTGGTGACTTAGGTAAAGGTTGTAGTTGGTAAAATACATCTTTGGGTTCAAAACAAATGATTGATGATCTAGGAATATGTAAAAATGGAAGGAGAAAGCCTTCCCTGAATTTCTGTTAGACTGCAAATCATGCTTTGAAACTTCCCAAGGTGTTCTGCAGTTTTGTCTCTGATTTAAGCTTCTGAGAGCTTTGTGCTTGTAGCATTTCCGCTTGCAATATGAATAAGGAAAGAAGAATCTCCTACAATAGGTAGTATGAAGCTTTCATTTACGTTCTGGCAATGCTGTGATGATTAAAGGAAATATCACAGAAATAAGAATTCTTGAGCCTATTTTCTGTTTTATTTGAAAATGTTTAAAAAGACAAACAAAACAATGAAGTGAATAACATAGTAATATTACACCATCTTTCCTGTGTTTTTTGTTTTGTTTTATTTGGGTTTTTGTTGTTGTCTGTTTGTTTTGTTTTTCTTTGTTTATTTTGTTTTGTTTTTGGTTTTTGATTTGGTTTTGGTTTTGTTTGTTTTGTTGTTGTTGTTTTTTTTAAGTAGCTGTTTTGCTTCTGTACTAAGAACAAAAGAAGAGTTTTTTGCTCTATATTTTTAAGTTTCCACTAATGGCATTGTGAGTTAAGAAGCTGTGCATGAAATGTTATTTCAAAAAGGTGTTTAATGACTTTTTTTCCTGGTACTTACTCTGTTATGCTGTTCACTGTAATGCTCTAATACATATTTTACATTTCTGTAGCTTCTTTAATTTGCTATTATTTGTGATGTCATGTAACTTCTGTGTGGTTTTTTGTTTGTGTTTTTTTGTTTGGTTGGTTGGTTGGTTGCTTTTTTTTTTTTTCCTAATTTAATGCTTTATTTTGGCTTCCCCCCCTCCCTGCTGGTCCAGTTAAATTTGCCACTGAGTAAGTTTTAGTATGTAGGTATTTTGATTGTGCTTTTTTTTTTTTTTCCAAATAGGTAATCAGAGAGTGTAAAGGAACAGCTTTCTTTAAAGCTGATTGTCATACAAACTAATGTAGCTTATTTAAAGATTTAAAGGTGTTTTTTTATTTACTTTACAAAATAGTTTTTTCCTTGCTTTCATTCCATGTGCTCTCCATGCAAGAAATATTAAATATCATCAGGTTTAAAGAAGTCAAATAACCTCCCTGCTGCCCACAAACGAATTAAATAGTTACCCTTTCCCAGATCTTACCCAGTTTTCATTTTGGGTTCTGTTTTTCCTCCCTAACCAGTGTTTTGCTAAGCTTTTGCTGCCTAGCTTTTAGCTGCCTTGACCTGATTCTGACACTTCTTGCGTCATCTCTGAATAAGATGACTTGCCTTTCTTTCATCACTCTTTTCCACAGCCAGGGAAAAACAAAAGTCTTTCAAACCTATAACATAATGTCCACAAACAAGCTTTTATTCAGTTTACAGATGCTCTGGCTCTTCAGGTTCTTCTTATTTCCATATCTTCTTATTGCAGTAGCTAAGAGTAACATTAAATATTTTGATTTTATGTGCCTTGTTGCTGATCTTTTACCCTTTCAATCATGTCAGTTGTTCTGGGTATGGCTGTTGCAGTAAATAATGAAAGCTAATAATGTGCTTATGTTTCTCATGCAGTACATGCAGTTTTTAACACTCCTTATCTCCTACATTTATTAAATATATAAAATACTTTAAGTACATGGCACGCTGTGGGATAATTACTGATGACATACAGTTATTCTAGTCTCATAGATGAAGTCACTCCTCTTTTTAAATTTCTTATTTATTCAATTATAAACTATTTATAGTCTGCAGCTAAAAAAATGAAATTTCATCCTTTATCAGTAGCAATGTCTTTAAAAGCAAGATTTAATCTAAATTACTCTTCCCCTCATTGGCAGCATTTGTGTCCTTTTGGCTACTCAATCTATGTGAGAAAATATATATCATCAGAAAAAGTTCTCAGTCATGAAAAATGTTAATGCTACCTGTATGAAAATCTGGGGGCAAAGTGATATTTTTTTATTTAGAAAGAATTAATTCACTACCAGCATACTGTCATTTTTTTAATTAATATTTAAGACTTCATGTAGACAAAGATATTTTAGTATTTACAGTTCTGTATTTTTAATTAAATTTAAACATGTTTCTTTTTTTATATTTCACATTTACTGCCCTTGAACTCTTGCACTTTTGTGTGGAGCAACTAATTATTACAGTCTTATATAGCTAAAATAATGTGAAAACTGGCATATATCAGACAATGTGAACACTGATTTTTGATTCCTGAAATAACTTTAAGTTGTCCAGTTTGAAGTTATAATTAAACTAGTTATATAAATATGTATTTTTATAATACATAATAATTTTTCACTTTAGATATAGAAGCTTGTTTTGATTCTTTTGTTATTGCTTTTAGTGATCAAGGGCTGATTCTCCTAGCTGCAGAGTAGATTTTCTTTTAACTGAAATAGTAGCGGAAATCAGGATACTAGGTAGTTTATAGGACTAGACCTCTAATTTTTATTGTATTTGTGATCAGTTGCTTGTCTGTAGTTGAAATGTATATATTTGTATCTTCTAAGACAAAGTGTGTAAAAGTGAGATTTGTTCCACATTTGTGCATTTATTTCATGGCAGATACAGTTTTGAGATGACAATCCACATTAAAAAATGTGCCTTATTGCAGGGACAAACAAAAACTTGCTAGTCATTTTAATTTACATGGAATGATGTTTTTCAAGCGTCCTGGAAGTTCATCAAATCAATAATAAAAATAGTGAAAAGTAATAAAGAACATGTTATGCTTAAACCAACTTTGTTTATCCAAAGTGCATATCTGTTTCAAGTTCCTCCTGCTACATCTCTCATATCTTGCATGATATGCAATTCTGTGTGACCCTTTTTTTCAAAGAGCAATAGTATGATGACAACTGCATGGCATAATTTTACTTAAGTGAATGTTTAGAACTTTGGGCCCACAACTGAATAACTGAAGTAAAGGAGCATTAAAACTTCAAGGGACTACTCACTTTTTTTTTCAAAAGCATTAATATTTTTCAGCTTACATGACGCATAGAATAGAAATCCATCAGACATGGACACTGTGGATGATTTGAAAAGGAAACTCCACCAGGCTGAAAAAGAAAATGTTGAATTACTTACTCAACGCAAGCAAGAGGTAAGGACTTTCTTTATTTGCTTTATTTTATCCTTGGAATAAATGTAATTGATTTCATTAAAATAATACTCTCAAGGGTTGAATCAAAAGCACAGCCACTGATTGGAAAATAGCTAGGAAATACCACTGTACAGACTTCTCGTACCTGTTCACAGGAATTGTTAGCACCTGTGCTGTCACTATTAATAGTTAAAGTTAATAGTTAAAGGTGTGTGTAAGTAACTGGAGCACTTCTCAACAGCAAAATGATGCAGAAGAATCTTGTGCAACCTCAGCTTTTGAATTCTCGATGTAGATAAGAGGTGTTTGGGTTGTTTGTTGGAGTGTTTTAATCCAGATAATTCCAGGGACACAATTTACAGAATCACCCCACAGTTCACGGGACAACGGAAACAGTAAAGAGCAAGTCATTGTAGGAGAAGCAGGAATTTCTTAATTTGGATACACACCCCAATAATAAATGGATATGGAACATTAAACTGGGTTTATTGGCTGGATTTAACAAAAAATGGATGAATGAGCACCCACATTATCTGCCCCCTAACAAACTGCTGAGAACAGAATGGCTACCTATAGTAGTAACATTACTTCAGCAGCACAGTTTAAAACAGGATATCAGCTGCCAGTTTGACATTAGCAGGTGTGCAAAGCGTGCCAAGTAGCAACAAACCTGAAGCTGATTGCAACTAGTACTCTACTCAGTGCTCACCTTTTCTTCTATTTGCTAGTGTGAAAGCTGATATTCAAACAAAAAAAAATATTAGTGAAGCATTTTCTTACTGCTACTTCATTTCAATACTAGTTTGCTCTGACAGCAGCAGGGAAAACCTTTGTAACAGGAGTAAATTATTTCCCATGAATGAAGTTCCTGTTAACAAGTATGTTGCTCCTTTGTAGATGTTCTGAAGAAATGTGTTTCACTTTCCACGTTCTTGTGTTGAAATAGTTTGAATTTCACTTTTCTGGATCCAGTTTTTGGTGACAGTGACTAGACTATCTTTCTTAGTCCTTTTTTGAAGCATTTTCCATCCTTCCTTTGTTTAATATCATCCTGTTTGACAACAGAACATTATTGGACTGCAGTTTATGTTCGTACATAGTGAGTTACCAGGTGTCTGATACCCCAGTATCCCAACATGACTATTTTTTAAGTGTTAAATAAAGTTACCAGAAAACTGCCTGTGGAATATAATGTTTCTGTTGCTGCATTTTCCTCTCCAAAATCCCAGCAGATGACAGTATTATAACTGTTATTTTCTTAAGATCATGTATTTTTGGAAAAACAGAGGGGTGTGTTAAAGGTAAATGAAATTAATCTAAGAATTTGATTAGTTTGCATAACCCCCTCTGAAAATATTTAAAATGTACATAAATGTGCAGTTGCAAGACTGTATTTCAAATTCAAATGTAATAAGATGGCAGCTGTGAATACAATCCAAAATATCTTTAAAAAGTACTCTGTAGGTGTATTTCTGTAACACTTCGTTGCCAGTTTTCTGGAACAAATTTATTTTCTAGAAGTCCCAGTATGAAAAAGAGATAATTAAATTACGTTTGGAACTTGAGAGAGGGGAGGCTATTCGTCGAGGTCTGGAGTATGAATTGTCAGTGGCCAGAAAAGAGGCTCAGATGCAAATGTATGCCGCAGAAGAGGAGCTGTGTGTTGCAAAAAGTGAACTTGTGGAACTGCAAGGTAAGTTCCAAAAAAGCAAAGATGAACCAGAGGCTGTCAGCCTCAAGCTGGTAAAACAAATTTTCTAGTTCCTGCTGTTTTTCTTGGATCTCCTATGTCTTTTCTATCTGCATTTGTAAACTCACAAGAGTTTACAAAACTCTTGCTATCTCGTGTGACAGCAACATGATCTGCTAAATCCGTCAGCTCTTTTTCTCTCTTGTCCCTTACCTTCTCTTATTTCTTCCTTCAGTGCTGTCTGTTTACAAACTTATAATCACAGTGTCCATCTCCACATCCTATGTCCAGCAATTTTTCCTTTTTCATTTCAGGGGGAAAAGTACTACTACTACTACTACTACTACTACTACTACTACTACTACTACTACTACTACTAATCCAGTAGTCCTGTTCTTTTTTTTTCAAACTATTTCCAATAACTTTTTTTTTCCAGGAGTTCCCATCATGATGCTTTTTTCTTTCATCTTTTCCAATGCTTCTAGCTTTTTGTTCTCATGTCTGGTTTCCACTCATCATCTTTGTTATTTACTGTTGTGACAGTAGTATATGGAAAGGAAGGTTTTTACGTAAACATTTTTTCCCTACTAGTTTTGCATTCAGAAACTGAGATTTTCTTAATCTTTCTTAAACAGAGAGATTTCTCATTCTTTCAAGGCAGTGAGGTGTATTTTTAGTTACCTAAGTAAATATAATGTCTGAAGAGTTTGAAGAACTCCTCTTTGAGATTTTAACCTTCCAAGGATGGAAAGAGTCTCTGAAACTTGCAAGTACTTATAGTGCCAGATATTGAGACAGTTGGAAAGCTGAACTTTTGCTCTTTTGGACAACACAAAAAAAAAAAATCTAAAAAATCTTATGGATTACAAACTGGAAGAAACCATTTTTCTGTCCATTTGGAAATTTCCCTGTGGTTGCAAGCTGAAGATGTGAACAACAATTTTCTCATACTTGGGAAAGTCAAGTTTGCTTCTATGCATGCTCACTAGCTTGTTTGCCAATTTAGAAGGCAGTAGTAAGTGTGTATTTTAAAATACTTTAAATCTGATTTTGTGATTCACTTTGTGATTTGGAAAACTAATTTGCTGCTGCATCAGGCAAAGATGGCGAGTGTCTGTGGTGGGAGTGGTTCTGCAGGGCAACCTGTGCAGAAGGATGAAGGTCTGGGTCTGCGTGGGACTGGTCCTGGTCAACTCCACAATATCAAAACTCACTCACCGCTGTGCGCCAAACTGCCCACCAGAGCGTGCACAGAGCCTGTACAAAGGGTGGCAAATGCCAGCGGGAAGACAAAAAAAGAAACAACAGGAGAGACAGGCAGAGCAGATGCCTGAGAAATGACTACCCATACAGGCACCAAGAGGCAGGACTCAAAAGGGTCTGATGCTGATGGAGGAACTACAGCACAGTGATCCCAGTGTGCTGGGTTGCTATAAGGTGTGGTGAAGGGACTGGAGAACAAAAAGGGGGTAGGAGAGGTTTTGCAGAGGCAAGGCAGTGTTTCTTGAATGCATGTGTTTCTCTCAATACTGGAGTCAGTAATTAGAAGTCTGCTAAGTGATAGTAAAGATTACAGGGGTTAAAATTTCTCAAACTTTTTTTTATTATGACAAGTGCCAAGGAAGCCAAGTTATCATTTGTTGATTCTCGGTTCTTTTTTGGTTTATAACTTATTGCTTCTTTTCCCCTGATCTCTTGGAGCCTTCCTCACCTTGTGTGATACTGTGATGTGATCCCAGCTTAGCTCCTTGGACAGAGCACTCATCTGGGCCTTGTCCTCTTTAGGATTTCCTCTGAATTGTTTTTCTGTCAATCTCACTGAGGCTTGACTTTCTGACATCTGACAGTTCTTTCCCATCTCTGTATCCACTAATTCTCTGTGTTATCCTAATATGTCACTTCTGTTTATTTTATCCTTCTCCAGCTAGAAAGAAATTTCAGAAAAATGGGATGAATTTGAAATAAAAATCTGTTAGAAAGTGGTGATCATCTAAGTGTTAATGTAGCTAGTTTTACCCAGAAAAATGAAAAGATAATGCAAAATATTTTCATCCAAAAGCCAGTTTGTGAAATTTAGGAAAGTTCCAGGTAAAACTGCTTATAGGTAAGGAAGTTTTCCGTGGCATTTAAGTTTTCACAGAGGGGTATATTCAATATTTCCCTATCTTGGGGCATTTGCTGGGCTGAAGATTTACATTTCCTGAACAGCAGTAAGTTTCCTTGAAAAACCTAAGCCTTTACTCACTAGCCCAACCTGCCCTAGGTTTTCCTACATCTTTTTCATGAGGCAGGTGTCTGTCTTTACTGTCACTTAAAAGGAGCTTAAAATTAATTGATGCAGACTAATATCTATATCAAATAGACATTTGGAAATAAGCTGGCGAAATGTTGCAGAAGTCTGAAATTAAGTTCTCCAAGGTATAGAGGCCTCACCTGGAAGAGTTAACTCAAGTTTTTACACTTTTCCAGGAGGAGAAGGATTTCAATTTGTAAAAATCACCAAAACAGCCCTATGTCCTTGTGTGAAAGATGCTATTAGAAACACAAAATTTGATTGTTTCTTTATAGTGAAGGTCATGCTCTCCAGTGCTGGAAGTGTTTATGTTCCAGTATTCCACAGGATATCAAAATACACAAAAGAACTGATGATCATTATCCATTTTTTTCTGAACATGCTTTGCAATGCTACTTGTCTTTTATTCTTTTTCTGTAAACAATAGTACTCAGTGGCAAAAATCAGCAGAAAGTGGCAGAGGCTGAGAAATCATTTTATAAGGCTCAGCAGAAATGGGAAGAAGAACACCAAAAATGTGCAAAGGAGAAGGACGATATTCGTAGAGTTTACCACCATGAAATTCTATTCCTTGTCAAAGAAAAAAGTGAAGCAGAAAGGACTGCTCAGGTATGATGTGTTCATAGTTGGAAAGCTGCATGAGATAGTGGCTGGAACCTTTTTGGTGCAAAGCATGGGGTCGTTCTGGTTTAACAAAAAAGAAATAAATCCCCCAAATAGCTGAATACTGCAGAATAGTTCTCAAGAACACTAAGGTTACACTTAGTGTGCTATAGTATTTCATGCTTTGCTGAAATGTGTTGTGGCTCTTTGTCATGGTAAACACCTAAACAAAGTTATTAGTGCACAGTGGTAGTGTTAGTGAAAAACACAGGGTGCACTCCAAAGGAAAATATGATTCACTAAGTGTCAACCCCTAACCTGCTTTCCATAGTAAAACCATCCAATTTTCCACTTTGCTTTTACTCCCTTGCCCATCACTTTACTCACAGTTATCTACAGTTCCAAAATTCCAGGAAATGAAAAATACATACAGAAATGTTAAACTGGACTTGACTGCATTAGTTGTTGTTTAAAAGCTTAATTCATTTAAACTTGGCAGATAAATATCAGAAATATCTGGGTTTATAAATTACTACTTTGAATGTATTCCAGTCATTTGTGTTGTGTATTTAAGGCTTGATTTAAATTTCCTTAAAAGCTGGAGAAAGTAGATTTAATTGTGGTCTTGATATGTACAGAAAAACAGGATTCTAAGCATGTATGCAAATCCTGGTTGGAAAAGCTGCACTTCATAAGCTGTAATTAAAGTTACCCTATTGAAATGTGTCCCTAAAACACATTTATCATACTAGGAAATATTCAATATTTCACATACTCAGAAAAGTAATACCCTCTGCTTTCAGACAGGTTCATAGTGGGCTCTATCGGGTGTGCTTAGCACATCATCAGGTATGGGATAAAAGGTGTTGGGAGTTCGATAGTAAGGGCAATAGCATCACCTTGTGGTTAGGCAGAATATAATATTCCTTCACAAAAGCACTCAGTTTTTCCTTAAAATGCATGTGAAATTGTGTCCTTTACACACAGGGGTTTTTTTGTTTGTGTTTTTTTTTGTTTGTTTCTTTGGTTTTTTTTGGTTTTGTTTCTTTTTTTTGTTTTGTTTTGTTCATTTTGGGGTTTTTTTGTGGGTTTTTTTTTGTTTGGTTTGGTTTGGTTTGGGTTTTTTCTTCCCCCTCCCCCCCCACAAAGAGTCGTGTTTTTCATGAGCAGATGTGTGCAGGTGACTACTGAGAGAGCCTTACACAGTCATACCACATCTGAAAAGTCCAGGCTTCAAGATTCTGAAATCCTACAACTCATGCTGACTTGTTTAACAAGCTTGATGTATTCATGACAATTTTAGTCTGCTAATGTTAATTACATTTCCAGCTGAAAATGTTTCTCAGCCTTGAGTATTTTAATTACTTTACAGCAAACTATGTATTATTTATTTCATTTTTTCCAGCTCACTCTTGTTAATTTCTAGAAGATAAACCTGAAGCAATAAATATTTCTTTATCTTTCCAGTATGGATAGAGTGGAAGTAGTTGTATATTTCTGTAAAAATGATCAAGTATTTTTTGCATGGTGGGAAGAAACTTGTTCACTGGCTTGCCAGTGGTTTGCCTCACAGGCAAAGCCAGAGGATTATCTTAAACTTAGTCTGTACAGTTATGGACTATGGGCATTTTGTCACAGTGACTCCACAGAGCTTCTGAGTTCAATAATGTTAGTAGTTATCCCATACTCTAACTTGATTCAACTTCTGAGTGCAGAAATTGAAGTGAGGACAGCTTAGTTTTATTATTCTCCTGTGAATTTCATGGTTCATGTAGATAATTTTTTAAAGTAATTCCATTTCTAAACAGAAGAAAATTCTTTTCAGAATAGCAGAAATTAAAATTATTTAGTCTGTGGGAGTAACTGTTTCTGAAAAAATATCTGATTTTATTTGAGGTTCTAGCAATTAAAATCAGAACAAAATAGAATTTCTGTCCCTACACATCACTTCATCAAATGCACTTAACCGTTTACATCATTGCCATCAATCTGGGAAAGAGAAGAGATTGGAGGAGCTGCCTTGTAATTTTTTAGAGAAACATTTCTTGTGGGAAATGTTTCTCTAATTTTAATATTATCACAGAAGGTCATATTTACCATCATTATCTGATGGTGAAAAAAGAGCATGTCTGATGTTGGGTAGACAGTTCTAATGACATGTGCTAATGTATTAGATTTTAACAAGCTGTTCTGATGCAGTCTCTACTCCTCTTTTGAACTCTCTACTACACTATCTTTTTTAGAAAAACTCTCTCAATGCCTTATTATTAGCATTATCTTTTTTTTTTAGGACCTGAATGATGCACTGCAAAATATGCACAGGAAATTGAGGGATATAGAGGCAGAACACAATGGCTGCAGTGACATGCTGAGGCGCCAGGCCTTCGAGCTGGAATTCAGAGCTGACCGACACCAACGACTCATGAAAGAGCTTGAAGTAAGGCTTTGTCACTACTGCTATTAGTCTCAGTAAGCATTAGCACCTTGAACAACTTCATTTCTTGAGGGGTGGAACCTTCTAGTGAGGCTGTGAATGCCGTGTGCCTGATTAACAAAAAGTCAAACATTCGTTTCACATAAAAGGGATTTCACAGGTGGATGCTATTTACACTATGAATTTGGCTTGAGACTGGTGTTTGAACAGAAGGTGTGGAAAGTATTTTCACATATAAAGTGAAAATACTCTCAGCAATGCGGGAGTAGTGTTATTGCAAGATTTGTGAATTTTCACTACTGAGAATATTAAGCAAATAAAACTTGTGGGATGAGGCAAAGTTTAAGCCTTCTGACAGACCTTGCTGTGGAGTAGGTTTGGTAATCTCTGTACTGTTTTTGATTTTCTCTTAAGTGGTATGTCTGTTTTCAAAGTCTTTTCTTTTGTGTGTATGTCTGAGATTACACAAAATTTAAATGTATTGCCAAGAGTTTTTATTTTAATGTCTGTTAATGTTTCTCTCACTTAAGTGCTTCTAATCAATGCTGTCTCACACCCTTGCTAGTTTGTTTTACTTTTCCAAAATCAATGTCTTCACTTGTATTTATGTAACACTAAATGTGCTCTTGTTAAACAACTTTTAATATTAACTTTTTTTCTTGATCTCTCTGGTGTCACTTGAAACCAAGAGTCATTTTGGGGTGAATTTTTCTTTTCAGTTCAGTCATCAGTCAAAGTGAAAAGACTTTTTTGGGTAGAAAATAGTACAGTTAAAATTACATGTGAATTTCCATTATAGCAGTTCTGTAGTTACTGCTTTTGTTAAAAATATTTTTCCAAATGAAATTCTGTGTCCGGGCCTTTATCTGGATATATATATATGTGGTGATTGCTTTTGTGTTCATTGTAACTTGAAAGAAATTTTTCCAGTTTGGAGAACCTTTTTTTAAAAACAGTTTATTAATAATACAGACAAATTCTTGAACTGTTTGTAGGCAATCCAAATTTCCAAATACATTCTTAGCATAGTCATTTGCAATTTTGTACTTTTCTAAATGTTGTAAGAATGGATAAGAAAGATGTAACAGTTTAATTCAGAGAATCTCATTTTGCTTAAACTATGTACGCATGTACAGGTTTATGTACATTTGTACAATGAGATGTAGTGAATAACTAAAGTATTCAGAATATTTGTTAAAAAAGAACTTCCTGATAATTGCTAGTCAAAACCATAATTGAACAGTTATAGGTGAAGGAACTGAGCAGTAAAAAAAAAACCAAACTTGATTATTGCTTTAAAATATTACAGAATTTACAGATGTTCGTGGTAGGAAAACTGTAGCTAGGTTAGATCTGCAAAGAAATCTGTTCTGGGCACCTAAGCTGGATATTAGGTGCCAAAGCCGATGTATTTTTGAGATATTCTATATTTTCTTGTCACCATATTGTAGTTGCTCTATTGATACCCATTGTATTTTGGCACTCAGAGGGTGTAGATATGTTGCCTCAGTTGACAATCTTAGCAAAAAGCAAACGGTAGGGGAGTAGATATATTCTTGATCTGGCATGTCTGCTTTCTGACTCATGCTGCAGTTTTGATTATAAAAAATGCATCAAGAACATAATGCTACATCAATTTCTTTGAATAACAAGAAAACATTATTTTAATATTCTGGATATGTAGAAATTATTTTTATATGTATTTCTTGGTATGAACTTTCACAGTTCCAAAGTGCAATTAGTTCAACAGTAATACAACAGGTTGCTGTATGGAGTCGCAATACACTGAATGAACAGAGTCATCTTTGTCACTTTACCATCTCTCTGGGTTGAAATACTTTCCAAATGTACTTTTAGGCAGCTACAGAAAGAACTAGAAAACTGGAAGGAGATACTGAAGCAGCGAGAGCAGCACATTTGGAATGCAAGTACACTACACGGATAATGCAGGTAAACTTTTTATTAAATATTTTGTAGAAGTTTACAGGAAAACTGTTGTTGAAGTTGTAAAGGTACGATCTTCCTAACATATTAAGACCACTTACTTACTTCAGTGAAAACACTGAGTAGATTTTTTGCAACAAGTGTCAAAATTGTAGTAATTAGCATGTGAAAGTAGAGAATAGAAAAACGTCTTATTTTCAGGGAACTTTAAAATTAGTAAAATAGGTAAAAAAAAAAAGTCACATTAATTAGTCTGAGAATTCTCAGCAACATATATTTCAGTGAGGGGAAAGGAAATGTTTCCCAATAGTTAACATTTTATTACTGTTTAAATATCCTGCCCTGTGTCTTTTAAATGGGCACTTAGAGCAATTTGGAGATACAACCAACTTCTCTAGGAGTGAGAGCTTAATACCTACTGAAACTGCAGTTCCAAATATAACTTTTCCAAGTACATTTCAGAATCAAAGCAGTTACCAGTAAAGTTTGATTATATCAAAAAATTTAGTATATATACCTGAATTTAAATTTTTGTACTATTAAACTGTATCCCTCAGGGTTTGACCTGCCGAGTTATTAATATAATAAATAAGAACAGTCCAACTCCTAGCTGGGTTGCAGCCAAAGGGGCTTTATTTCAAATGGTAGTGCCTTTTTATCCCTTTGGGAACACGTGACCAAGTAACCAATGGGAATACAGGCTCCCGTGCATGTCCTGGACTTCTTCTCCCGGGATGCCTCGCTCACATCCCCTGGACATGCCTTCTACATCTCCCCCTACAATTATTTAAGAGGGTCATGAAAACAGTGGAAAAACAACAGTGCAAATAACAGAACTATAAACTGTTATAGTTCTATAAACTATAACTACCATAACATTGCAGGTAAGAACTTTCCTATCAAATTGGGGAATTTCTCTAAATTATAAACTACCATAACATTGCAGCGACCCAGCACACCGCTTGCTTTGGCTTCTTAACAACTTATATCTCTATTGAAAACATTTCTTTAACCTTTTTAAACTTTCTTATATTACCTTAAACCTTTATTCTCCTAAGGAATATAATGCAACCTGGAAAAACAGCTTTACTAACTTAAGGGCCTTAGCTCAACTGTGTCATACCTATAACTTATAACCTTTATTAGTCTCAGGGTTTATATAAACTTGGGAAATTCAACTCTTATTTCAAAAACAAGGTAAACATAGCAAACTAAATTCTCTTAATGTGACCATGTGGCTAAGGTAGTGTTATTCTTGTAAAGCATTTGATGTCTAAGGCGTTTGGTGATTAAGGTGCTTTACACAGTCATACAGCTCTTTTATCCATTCAATCACACTTTCACTGATGGCCGTCATTCCACTCATCACACACACACTCATGGGTTTTGTATAGACTCTGCATTTTGCCACACTGGTCATCTTCAAATATAAACCTGAAATTTAAACATTATTACCAAATGGTAAACATAACTGTGTTTATAAACTCTGCATTACTCTGATTCTTGCTGCTGTGATTGTGTGCCTAGGTAGGGTCTGACACATCTGGAAGGAATCCATTTTAGTTCTTTTCCTGTAGATACATGCATAACCCCTCCCCCATGGCACAAGGTCCACCAGTCCTGCCTACTACCCTGAAATTAGATCCTTTATCGCGACTGGTGGTCTAGGAGAGGAGAAAACCTGAAGTCTGTGTTGTTTTTCGTGCCTACTTTTTTCAGCACTATCACAATTTAAAAAATTTATAACATATGTGGCTTTCCACAAACACTCTTGTGAACTACAGACGGATTCCCCCTTTTTCTGTTTTGGTAACATGTCTTTTAGGGTCAATGTGCCCTTTCTACAATGGCTTGTCCAGCGGGGGAGTGTGAAATGCCTGTAGTGTGAGAAATTCCCCAATTTGATAGGAAAGTTCTTTACCTTTTCTGATATGAAGGCAGGTCCATTGTTGGTCTTGATTTGTTTTGGGGTTCCCAGGCTTGCAAAACAACTAAGCCAGTGTCTCATTACATCCTTGGCTTTTTCCCAGTGTGTGCTGTGACAGTTATGTATTGTGAGTGGGTGTCAACTGTGACATGTACATAATTCAATGAACCAAATTCGGTGATGTGTGTGATATCTGTTTGCCATATTTCATTTGCCGTTAACCCTCTGGGGTTAACGCCTTCCTGAGATGGCATGGAGGTTATCTGTTGGCAGTCTGGACATGACATGATTATGTCTCGAGCTTGATTGAGTGTTATTTGAAATTGTCTCTTCAGTGAATGTGTATTCTGGTGGAAAAATGAGTGAGACAATTTTCCTTGCTCTAAGACTCTGGGCATGGTGTTAAACATAGCTGCTGCATCAGCCTCCCAGTTCCCTTCTGCTATGGACCATGCCATTTCTGTGTGTGATCTTGTGTGCATAATGCACAAATCAAACCTCCTGTGATTAACAAGAAACCATACTGAACGCATTTCAAACAACAGGTGAGGGTTTGCAACATCTTGAAGGAATGAACTTTCAAGATGGGACACTAACCCTGCTGCATAACAGGAATCTGTAACAATATTAACTGGTTGTTCTGAAAACTTTCCCAAGGCAATACGTATGACAGCCAGTTCCAGAACCTGTACAGAGCCTCGGTTCATGGTGTGTACCTCTCGTTCCCATTGTCCTGCATCAGGGTTTACCCATGCCACTGAAACTTTTCAGGTCCGCCCAGATGCATCTGTAAAGACCATGAGGCCTTTTACGGGTTCATGTTTGTATCTGGTTGTGGCTTTTAAGGGTAAATTATTGATTTCTGTCCACAGTCTGTGTTTAGGGAAATGAATGGAAATGTCACCATCATAGCCTGCCAAGGCAACCTGGAATCCTGCATCTTCGACTAGCATCCAGTCGAGGTTGTCCTTTGTAGCTGGGATGTAGATGGTTGCAGGATCCTATCCGTCCAGCTCCTGTAGTCGTTCTCTGCCTTTAATGACAAACTTGGCAAACATTTCATTAGTAGTCCACACAGTTTTAGGTGGTGTATGGGGAAGAAACAGCCATTCTAGGACCCTCAGTGGGTCTTTTTCAGTCTGATCCCACTGAAACAAAGCTGCAAATGGCTGGTACCTGCTGGGTAGGAGAGCAAGGCAGATTTGCTGTTCAGGATTTCTCCTTCTGCCTTGTCTGGCTTCGACTGCCTTGGCACATGTTTCTAACACCTGCTTTGCCTGCAGTCAGAGACCTGCTAGACGTTAAGTATGAGTCCCCCTTAAGCAGCTCAAACAGAGGGTGTAGCTCCTCTGTGGTTAGGCCCAAAATAGGCCTTAGCCAATTGATGGCTCCCTGAAGTTTTTGCAGTTCGTGTAAGGTTAAATGTTTTTTACCTCAAGCTGCACTGACTGTGGAAAAATTTCCTGCTGCGTGATTTTCCATCATAACTGCTCTACTCTGGCCTCCAATTGGGAGGCCTGGAGACACACCATCTGTGACACAGCTGTCGCCTTTGAGAACGCCCGCAGGATCACTCTTGAGGAGAAAAGGCAACACAGAAAGAACCGTGTATTGCAGAATATACCACCTAAGGAGTCTTTCTGCTGTGCCTTTTGCAATCAGTTATGTCTATCTCGTATTGGCCTCATTAGCCACCAGCATACTTGTAACAAATGTGGATAGAGCCTCCCTAAATCTTCGTTTGCGAAGCCTAGCCATGACTGACTGACTGATTTTCCATCCAAGGTAGGTCCAGGGCTGTGATCACTGGATTTTCTCTGTAGTGATCTGCAAACCTGCATCTTGGACAGCATTGGTTAGAGCAGTAACAACAGATTGTAACTCAGTTTCTGTGGCCGTGGTTATCAATGTGTTATCCATGAAATGCTATATGATGGCTGAGGGAAAACGCCTCCTGACAGGGTGAATAGCGTTTGCCACTACTGTCTGACATATCCTTGGGCTATTTCACATCTCCTGAGGAAGGACAACCTAGTGATACCTCTGTATGGATTGTGCATTGTTCAGGGCAGGGATAGAAAAAGCAAACCTTGGTGCATCCTCAGGGTCTAGAAAGATGGTAAAAAAGCAGTCTTTTAAGTCAATTACCATCAACAGCCATTCTGCTGGAAGCGTAGCAGGTGAGGGGAGTCCAGGCTGCAATGCTCCCATGGGCTCTATGACTGTGTTTAACTGCTTGTAAGTCCTGCAACATTCTCCCCCTCCCACTTTTCTTGGGAATACAGAATACAGGTGTATTCCAGGGACTGGTTGTTGGCACAATATGACCTGCTTCAAGTTACTCCTTTGAAAGCTCTCTTAGATGTACAAGCCATTCCTGTTTCATGGGCCATTGATCCACCCAAACTGACTGCTCGCTTTTCCAGAACAGTTTAATTGGTCATTGGGATGGCTGCTCAATGGCCCCTATTGAAAAACCTGGTTGCTTGCAGGAGCAATTCGCATGACTGTGCCAAACTGTCCGAGAACATCCCGTCCCCACAATGTACATGGAATGGGAGCAATAAAAGGAGCGATTTTTGCTACTTGTCCATCAGGGCCCATCACTGTGTGTATTTGAGCACTCTGTCTTGGTCTTTGTGTGCCTCCCACCCCCTGAATGGCTGCTGCTGGGCAAACAGTAGGCCAGTCAAGGGGCCATTCAGAGTCCTTTATTACGGTGACATCAGCTCCTGTGTTCACTAAGCCTGTAAATCGGTGCCCATCAATCTGGCACGTCATGCAAGGCTGTGTGTCTGTGATGGCCATTGCCCAGAAGATTTGTGGCTGGCCTGTGCTTCCGAAAGCCCCTGAACCCTGCTCCCCCTCCCCTGCAGGAGACGTACTGTAGAAAGGGATTAGTTGGGCAATTTTTTGACCCTTAGGGATGAAACAAGAGGGTGCAGGAGTCCAGGCCATAATTTGAATTTCACTATGGGAATTAGAGTCTATTACTCCAGGTAGCATGAATAAACTCATTCCGGTGGTAGAAGATCTCCCAATTAGTAGTGCATGCACCCCTGGATTAAAGGGACCCCAACACCTCGTAGGGATTAGTATTATGTCAGTGGAAGTTATGATGACTGGTTCTCGGTTGGATAAATCCAACCCAGCGCTGGCTGAGGTGGTGGGGCACAGATGGCGAGCCTGTTCCTGTGATTCGTATTTATTTGTTGTGCTGGGGCATGCGATAACCCCCCCACCTCCAGTTTCCCCATTGTGAGGAGTTTCTTGGCCCTCTTCTCCTGTTTGGGTACCTGTGGGATGCTGCTGCAGAGGGTCTCCTTGGGCAATCCCTTTGAAAGTGATCTCAGGGGTCCCACATCTAAAGCAACCATTTCTGGGTCTGGTTCCTTCCTGTGCTCTTAGCTGGGCGCTTAAGGTTGTGGCTAAAGGGACAGTATGGTGTTCCACGAAGCCAACACCCTGGCAGGCTCGAACTAGCTCCGCAATGCTACAGCCCTCCCTTTTCAGAAGGGCCTGCAAAGCTCTTTTACAGTCTGGGTTTGCATTTTTGTATGCCAGTTGCCTAAAAACCATTTCTCTGGCCTCACTGTGCTCAATCTGCCTGTTCAAAGCAGCTTGCAGCCAATCTAGGAAGTGAGAAAATGGTTCAGTAGAACCTTGTAATGACAGATTGCTGTCCTGGTCTGTAGTGGGTAATTTCCTCATGGCTTTCAGGGCTAGTTTCGCAATTAACTTGTACACCTTCCGGGGGTAGCCTGACTGGGCATCTAATGTGAAAATCCCCTCCTCGATTAAGTGGTTAGTGGTTATGCCTGCTTGTGGGTCGTTAGCATACACAGCACAATTGTCCCGATAGTTAACCAGACACTATACTGAGTGTTAATTAACACCAATTTCAGTAGCGTCTTCCAGTCACGTGGGGTGAAGACATACGTTGAACTCAGCGTCTCCAGATATGCAAACGTATTGGTTGAGGACACACCAGTCTCTCTTACCAATTGCCTCAGTTCCTTTGTCACCTCATATGGCAGAGGCTGGAACTGGGGGCCTGACGTGGGCGAAAAATGGCTGGGCACGCATGGATAACCTGCAAATCTCCCACTCTGATTGCCTCCTCCCGACACTGTTCCCACCAGTCAACTGACTTTCCCCTGCTTTCCCCCTTGCTCCCTCCCAGTGTAACCATCCCTGGTCCCTCCTCCTCATCCTCCAGTGCCTCCCCCCCCGTGGCCCCAGTAAACCCAGTTCCCCAAGGCAGGGTGGTGGTGGATGATGGATGGGGCGGCAGGGAGGGGCTGGAAGAGACAGGTCAGTTTCCGGTCCGTTTAGCACGCAAGATGACTGCACCCGTGCTGGTGCACGTGGTTGCCAGTCATCCGCAGCATGGGGTGGCAAATAGGCTGGGTTCCCCCCCTCATCGCTGCAACGGGGCCCCATACGCCAATCCCACGGGCTGGATTCCCGCGTTAAAGGCTCTGTTCCCTCCCTGCGACTCGCGCTCCCATGGCTACCAGTGCCTGACCCATGGCCTGATTTCCTCCCTTCCTCAGCGAATCCCTTGGATCTATATATATTCGGGTTATCTCTGGTGAGTTCCCCCCAGTTTGTGTATGGGATTTGGGCAGCGGCTAGCAGCCTGGTTGGGGGTCTGTGTGTTAGAGTGGGGTCAATGTCCCATTCGCTTATGGGCTCTGTGTAAGGTAGACATTATTATTGTCCAGGCTGGAATGGCATTATTAGCTTGGTGGTCTCCTGCCTGGGCTTTTAGTCTCATGCGGTTTCCGATTTTGTCCCAGATCTCTATGTGTAAGGCTTCTACAAGCGGCAGCTCTGGCGCCACAGATCTAATCCATTGCACCAGGTCTGTTAATTCAGCCCTTGTTGTCTGTATGTGATAAGGTCTCAGTAGGAGAGCTAATGCTTCTGTATCCTGAGATATTTCCATAGAAACTATGTTTCCCATGAGAGATATTATCTCACTCTGGCCACTTTTCGCTCCACGTGTGTGTGGTCCTGTTTGACTGCGGTTTTGGTTCCAGCTTGGCTGATCTTTCGTGGTTCCTTTTCCACTCCGGTGCTCCCTGCGGCAGCTGCTGCTCTCTGGGTCTCTGCTGCTGCTTCTCCAGCTGCTGCAGGCGACTGGGTCGCTCCTGGTGTGGCACTGAGGTCCGACGGCAGCTCCGTCGGTGGTGAAGTCTCGGCGGCATGGCGGCGTGCGGCAATTCCCAGTGGCAGTGTTCATGCGATGCGGGGCTGCATTCGGAGGCGGCAGCAGTGGCGGTCTGTGCGGCTTCTCCGCTTGGTGGATTAGCATGGTGGTCCGGGTGGTGGTGGGATCCTGTGGCAACTGCTATGTGTCTGGCAGTGGCGTGGGCGAGGGGGCTCATGTGGTGCGCGGGAAGTGGTCACTGCAGCGGTCCACGGCAGTGGCGGTCCGCATGGTCGCGGTGCTTGGTGCTTGGCGCTTTGGCGACAGCAGCGGTGCGGGGCTCGTGGGGTCCCGCAGCGCGTGGGGCGGGCGGCAACGACGGCTGCAGTGGTGGCGTCTGCAGCGGCAGCAGCAGCAGCGACAGGGTCCCAGCTGAGTGGTATGGCTCCCCTGCTTGGCTTTTTGAGTGGTGGTCCCTGCAGTCGCTGCTCGGGAGTGGCCCCTGCCATGGGGGGGCCAGGTGCTGGCTGCTTATGCTGCCGCTCCCGGTTCCCGCTGCTCCGACCCCCACTCATGTGGTTGTTGGCTCCTCTCCACTTTTCGCCGCAGCTGCTGTCCTGATCTCTCGGCTTCTATTCTTCTTTTTCTTCTTCTCTGTTTCCATGCACTTTTCCCTATTATTCTTCTGAGCTCATTGCTAATCTGCATCTCTCAGTACCAGCTGAGAACTGACACTTCTAAGACATCTAAATTTGTTTTGGTAAAAGATTCCCATGTTCTGCAACGAACACGTTCCGAAATCTACTGATTCTCTTGCTACAAGGGTTTTTTAATTTGGGTCCTAATATAGGTTCTAGCCCCTGAGTCGGAAGCCATGTGTAGGGTTATTAATACAATAAATAAAAGCAGTCCGACTCCTAGCTGGGTTGCAGCCAAAAGGGCTTTATTTCAAATGGTAGTGCCTTTTTATCCCCTTGGGAACACGTGACCAAGTAACCAATGGGAATACAGACTCCTGTGCATGTCCTGGACTACTTCTTCTGGGATGCCTCGCTCGCATCTTCTGGACTTGCCTCCTATATTGACCCAGTAAAGCAATTAGGGTTTATTTTAAAAAAATTGTGAAAAAGCTTAATGTTGATTGCTTGACTATTTCATACTAACTAACAAGCACTTCACACTGGATTTTTAAAAAACTAAGCAAGAAAAAAAGGTAATTTCAGTGTTTTTTTTTTTCCTTATTTTCTGAGGAGCAAAAATAAGTATTGCCATTCTTCTGTCAGTTATTTTCTTATTCTTATGGCCTTCTCTATGTACAGGCACTTAAATTTTTGAAATCACGAATAAACAACTAGAAATAATTTCCTTTTCTTAATTTTCTCTCTACTTTTGCAACCTACAAAGGAACTGGGATGGTAACATTCTTTGTAGTTAGAGACTTATATTTTATGGGTAAATAATTGGTAAGATTTCTTCCTTGTTTGTATACATTAACAAGCTCCATGTGTGCTTTGTTCTGAGTGGAAGTTTAGTCTTTATTGTTAATCCCACACTTTCGTGTATCTATTTTAAAAATAGAATTCCCCCAGAAAATTCAGTAATATTAATAACTGAAAACAGGAAAATCCAGACAGGATTTTTGAACTATGTGCATTAACACATCCATATTAATACATGCGTTTAATGCTTTCTGTGTATATACTTCCGTATAGAATTTATAGAATATAGTTGCCTGTAAAGCAGAACAGAACAGAAAACAGTATTGAAGACCTTTTTAGTTTTTCCTGACTTGCTTTAAAATGCTTTCTTATCACTTGATAGTTAAGAATTCAAGAACTCGAAGAAGCTTTGAATTCAGAAAAGGGCAACTCAGCAGAAGCTCTTTCAGTGTTACAAAATATGAAGAGAGATTTCAGAAACTCAGCAAATGCACATGAGAGGGAACAAAACGTGTAAGTTTTCCTCTAAAGCCATTGTAAAATGGCAGTAGACAGCTTGAGTACCACTTATAGTTTACATTCCCTATAATTTCATTCAGTAGAAAACAACACAATCTAATGCAATTTGCCAAACCAAGACAAAGGTTTAGAACCTGGCAATCCATTAATAACAGGTCCATACCAGTAATCTTACAGGCCACTTGTCAAAGCAAAAATGCTGAAAATAATTATGATGGGGTTCGCCCTCTAGTGGTGTTTGGGAGAAGTGTAGGAAAACATATCTGGCAGGTTTAAAGAGATGGGTTTTCTATATCCACTTGTATTATTACAAAAACATTGTTTTCCACTTCAGTGAGCTACATGAATAGCTAAGGATACTGTCAAGAAGTTATGTATCATTTATAGTGGTTAATATTTGTTTTCATCATTTGAATAAGTGTAGAAATCTTTAATTGGTAAAAAAAAAAAAAAAGAAAAGGGGATCAAGTGTGAGAGAGCAGATGAAATTACTTGGGATGCCTTTCCTACTCAGCACAATCTGCTGTGTCTGTGGTAACAGACGATTTTTGGAACTTGGGTAGATATAGGATGTGCAGTATTGAGTCTTCATTGGCTGAATCAATTATATATTGGGGTGAGAAAACAGCACAAGGAAGAATGGTGTTGGAAGACAGAGAACTGAGTAGGTGAAATAGAGGATAGTAGTTCATGAAATTTAGGGAAAGAGGAAGTTTAAGAAGATTAAAAATGAGTGGTGCGCAGTGAGGATATGGGAAGAGACTCAAGGTAATAGAAAACATTAGAAAACACAGACTTGGCCTCACTTTCAGTCTAGGATTATATGGATCAGTATACATAGGTATTTATGTTGACTTTCTCACGCAAGGATTAGTGGAGAACAAAAGAAACTGGTTTTCCTACAAGGAAAGAAGTTTGTGGCCTGAATAATTCCAGATTCATGGTTATGTAGATGCCTTTAGTAGGATAGTTCAAACCTGAGCTACCTAAGCACCTTAGAGCTCTTTATTAAAATTAGGCTAGAAGAAGTTTGCGTGTAGAATTGTGCATTTAGGTAAACCATTTAGAGTCACATAAAAAAATATAAAGCTTTTTTTTCCCCTCTCAAAGAAAAGTAAATAATTTTTATGATAAAAACTTGTGAAAATGTTTAAAATACACCATGGTAGTAATCTAAGGTGGTGCTTCAGGAAGACTGTGGTCTTCACAGCTGGGAAACTGAATTAGTGTATTTCAAGATTTCCTATGGTAATAAAATAAGATCAATTAGTTAAACTGTAATCTCACTCTGTCCAGTTGTTTTTGCAGCAACATAGGCAACTCTAAACTAATACCTAGTTATTTGGTTTTTCCTTGAACTGGAGAAGACCTGTCATTGATTTGACATTTTATTAGGTTTTTGTTGTTTTGTTTTTAAAAAGCTCCTTTCTGTTCAAAACAGCCTTGTTTGGAGGAATGACTGTTGGATCATGAATTTTACATAACAATCTAATCTGCACTTTATGAACTTTTAAAAAATGTTAATTGGATATGAGAATAATTTTTGTCTAATATCCAAACACTACTTATCACTAATTACAATCATCTGTTGCTTTAGGCAATTACTCTTGTGAGCTTCTACCAACTGAGTTTTTTCAAAGCAAATGGTCTTCTCTGATTTCAGAGAATACAAACCCTACCATGAAAGTTAACACAGTTGAGTTTTGGTGGTTTTGTTAAGAGAGCTTGAGGAAACAGAAGCAGCTTATCCTTACAGTTTTGTTAGTCTGGACACCCAAATTTCCAGAGGACAACAAAGATAGGTAGTGCATATCAAGATTTTTCTGAGATGGACACCAATATACTCTGTTCCCTGGAGGGAATTATGTGGGGTACTGCCTCATCTGTTTCCTGTGCCCTTTTCGTTCTTTGAAACATTGAAGTATCAGTAACATTGGTGAATATCAGTGATTGTTTTCACTAGACACCTTCAGAAACAGTACAAGAGCCTTTGATTTATTTACCTTTGAAGGCTGTGGTCCTTGTACTCCAGAGAGGGTCAGGATCTTGGCTTTTTTTCCTAAACCATAGTTTGGCATCCTAATTTATTTTCCCTTTTTCTAGAAGAGTCACATGAGTTCGTCTTTAAGCCTTTGTCTAATGAATCTCCAAAGCTTCTTTGTTCTGAAAGGACTTGTTCCTTGACATTCCCAGGACTGAAATGAATTGCTCTATAGTTCCCTGGTTTCTTCTTCCCTTTTCCAAATACAGGTGTGACATTTGCCTTTCCCAATTTGCCAGGGACCTGCCCCAATTTTTGTGACCTTCCACAATTATAATGGGAAACCTTGCTGTGCCATTGGCCAGATTTGCCAGAACCTTTGAGTGTAGGTGAGCTGGCCTCTTCAGTTTCTATGGGTTGAGCCCTTAGAAGTTATCCCAGACTCAATCCTCACCTATTGCTAGCAATGTTTCTCCTTTGTGAGCCCTTTTTCCTGATCATAGATGCTTGAGAGACCTTGTCAGAGAAGACTCAGACAAAAAAGACATTTGAGTTTGGTGATTTTCTTTCTGTCTGCTGTTGATAAATTAGCTGGTTTGTGTAGAAGCCAGTCCATTTCTGTTTATTATATGTAATTTAGAAACTGTATCCAAATAATCAGTTGAATTCATGACTGGTAATCTAACACTAGGCCTGGTAACTGAGAAGAACACAACCACTTCTTGAGAAGTCTTTCTCAGAGGGAATATATGTTTCTTCATTTAATTAAAAAAGGCAAGCAACTTCAGAAGCATATGATATGCTAACATGATATGTGCCATATCTATTGATTATTTTTTAGAAATACACAGTACACATGACAAAAGTAATTTTGATAAAAATGTTCTAATGTGGAAACTTTCCAGATTACAAAGGGAGCATTTCTCCTCAAGCAAGCAACCGAAAGAGATGACTGAGGAAAAGAAGGAAAACAGAGGTCTCTCTGGGAAACTAGACCTTACCAAAAGCAGCTCCAACATGTTACCAGAGGAAAGTAAAATGGTAAGACAAAAGGCCTGTGGCACTCACTGTTTAGGCTTTTTTATACTGTGAGAATAATCTGCATTTGTTGCGCTGTTTTATGTTACTTTCCTTTTTTTTTTTCATAAAACATGAATAAATATATCCAATAACTTGAAGAAGCTAATTTGAGAATGTATTTTAAGTGATATGCTGTGTATTCAACTGAAGAGTTATTTGCAGAAAACAGTTATTTTAAAAGTATGGATATGAGTAAGTTGTGTTTGCATCTTTAATCAAGAAAGCATTTGGTAGATATGGATTATGATTTCTTGTGAAGAATGTTCTATCTTTCTACGCAAACTTTTTTGTCAAGTTTTATTAGCTACCATTGTAGACTTGTTTATTTCTATTTCATGTAACTTTTTTTCCCCTTTCCCTTATTTTGGTGTGGATTTGGCACACTGGATGTATTTTACTGGATTATTTTCTGATATCTTTCTCCTCTTATGTGACCAGTTAGGACCTTCCCACTGTCTCTACCCAATTCAACATTGACACCCAGTTTTTCTATCCTATTGCATAGCAGCAGGAACAAAGGAAAGGTCTTAGCATATCTAGAAAATCTTCTCTCCTTTCATTGTGTGGTAGCATTTGCAGTATTTCTACACTTAGCAACGTAAACTTTGTTTGGGTACTGGCTTGCAAATTTCTCCTTCTTCTCTCTCTTGGACCTCTGGGTGTGGAAGGTAAATGTGGTCTGTTCCCTGCTGCTGACAGGCATTGTGATAATCATTGAGAGACCTGCAGAAGGTCTTCAGATTTGTTGGTGTCTTCTGTGCAGCCGATGGAGTTATTCCATCCATTGTCTTAGTGTTATCCACTGCTCAGGAAGATTGGTAATTAATAAACTGAGGAAAAATAAAAAAAAAAAATCCCCTTTTACCTCTGGAAGAATAACAGCTCCTTCCATGCAAATATTAATGTGTTAAAAGACATTTGTTCTCCTAGTTAACCTAAAAAAGTCATTTTATCAGGCACAAAAGAAATACAAAAAGATAAAAGCAACTGTCTGCCCTAACTACAGACAGCAATTGTTGTTATTCATGACTACAAAACACGATTCCAAGCTGAAAATTATCTGCTAGAAACCTTAAGCACTTGCTAGAAATTGCTGTGATACTGTTTTCCTTTTTGTTTTGTGTTCCTTAGTAAAATGTACGTTATACTTGACAAGAATGCAGGACAAAATTCTGTTCATGGTCAAGGTTTCTAGTAGTGGAAACAGGATTAAATAGTATACTCAAAATTAGCATGTTACTGGAAGGTAAAAAACCGCCATAAAATAGCGTCTCTGTTAAAAGAACTGTCATTCACAGAGGGGATTGTTTTAATTGTTTTACTGGAACAATTTCAAAACACAGGACTGTCTTGAACATGTAATAAAAATAATAATTTTCTGAGGAGTTGTATTAGTGGTCCCCTATGAGATTAGGTATTTCTTACCTTGGGTGGCTCTGTATTTTTCCTGAAGACTTTTGTAATCTTTTGGGAAGCAGGAGTGCCTGTATGTAGTCTTGTTTACTCAGCTTGGACAGATTTTGTTTTTCTTCTCAAAATGAAAAAGCAGAAGACTGTAGCAGAACCTGAGTACAGATAACATTAAATATACTGTTACTGGCCTTCACTATACCCATGCTAAAACTGTGTGAAAATGTCAGTGTGTTATCTTTCCTTAATTTCCCACTCCTGCTTTCTTGATCTATTCGCTATTTTCTTATATTTTATGCTATTGTTAGACATCCCAAATAAGTCTTTTCCACTCTAGTTTGATAATCTTATGTTGGTTTCTCACTGTACTGTTATAAAACAATGGTTTACGGTCTTCGTTGTTGTTGTGTTTAAGATACAGCTTTCTATTTGTTAAGTTGTATATATTTACTAAAGATATGAAGGCTGGAATTTCTGCTACATGCTATTGTTGATGAAGTTTATTTATAACTTACATCAATTTATTATACTATGGACTAAAATTAGTGTAAATGAATGAGACATGGCTTGTGGGATTTAACTAATGAAGTCGTAAGCCTATTTTGGCTAGTTATGTAGTCATATATAATCAAAGCAAAAGCATTTTTTGAAAGACTTCAGAGTGACAGCATGTTGTGCTGCCAGGCCAGTCAGACAATTTTCTGCTTGTAGGTGTCGGAAGTGGGTACAGTTTGAATGTACCTGAAAGTATTAACATGAATGAATGAATTGCATCTACTGATAGCATGGAGGTTTTTCTCTGTAGCTGGTCATGGCTGTGACCCCTGCAGGACTGGGCTTTGTTTAAATACTTTATTTATATACTTTTTTTACAAAATGCTGTCTAATTAGAGAGTTTTCTTACTCTGGCTTCAATATGCATGACTGCAAACATTAACAAGGAATTGAGGAATTCTGTAAAGGTTTGAGAACGAGCTTTGTGGGCTTTGTTTTCAGCCACATGCAGCTCCTATTATACACCTAATGGATTTCTTTTGATTCTAACATTCCTCAGATACAACAGTTAATTTTTTCTGTTTGTTTCAGGAGGAAGTGCATGTTCTCCGTAGCTTATACCAGCATCTGGTAGAAGGCTGTGTGCTTACAAAGCAACCAGAAGTTCCCATAGACAGTTTGACTTGGTCAGAGCTTTGTGTCCTCTTGTATGAAAATATTGATACCCTGGTCTTAGACTTCAGGAGGGCTCAAGACAAGGTGAGTGTCCTTAGGCATCAGCTACCTCTGCTAAATTCAGTGACATTTGTCCACACCACAGTCTCATTAAAAAAGAGTTATATTCATCTTCTTTCAAAAAGAATTTGGACATTAATAATTGAACACCATTAATTATGGCTTGTCTGTATCTCAGTTTGATGACTGAAGTCTGTATGAAGTCTCCAAGCTCCACTTTCTGTGCCAGGCATGCTGATAGCACTATCCAGTATTAGCCACAGGAACTTAATTAGAAAAAATTAAATTAATCTTACTGATGAAACAATTCAAGGAACATAGTAATTTACAGTTTTAAAGCAAGTCTTTATTTTTCCATAATTCAGAAGAAAAACACACTTACTCCAGGATTACTATCTTTAAATTATGTGTTTATGTTTCAGAGGTACTATTTGGAAGAATGCCAGTGTGTGGTTTTTTTGCTTAATTGTAAATTTTGGGTTATTTTGTCTGTATTCAGAAACACAATAGGAAATACCTACTTTTATAAAACATGCTAGTATTTGTTTAAGGGAGAAGCTGTAGTTTTCTGAGTGATTTTAGTATGAATGAGCTTACATGGCCTTTCCCTCCAGAAATCCCTGCATTTTTAGGACTTTAAATTAACTGGCTCCAGAGAGTAACATATGCCACTCTTTTTTTGGATTTCAGTTTGTGTTCTAGGTCCATTGATCAGCCCAGTCCTACAGTCTAATAGCATCATTTCAGGACTTAGCGCCCAGATATTTAGTTCCATAAGCATAGGAAGATTTCTCATCCTCTGGAATTGTGACCACTCCTCTGGCCTGAGCATAGGACAGAGCTGTGGTTGCACTGAATTGTTTTAAATCTGCCCATCATTTAATAAATAGCCCAGCAGTCAAAAATTACTAAAGAGGGGTAGTATAAAATCCAGATTATGTAGATTTGATGCACATTTCTATTTCTCTTTTGAAGCAGAGGAGTAAAGGGAAGGGAGTAAATATTGTTGTTAGTGTTTGTAGGGCTTATGTCTTATTGTTTCTTCTTTTTTAATTAAGTTTTGTTATTGAGAGTGATTATGAGGTCTTTGAAGCCCTCCACATGTACTTAGCAGCTTTTCTGGGATTTTTGGGCTGTGTTGTTACCTGTGTTGTACCTGCTTTCTTGAGAACAAAATCTTTCTCTTGCAGTTCTGTGTTATCGATCTTGAAAGTATCTTGTTGATATTTTCTAGTAACAAAGTGCAGGTGTGTGCATTTAGAGACCACTGTTAGCTTGATTTATTCCTACATTTAATTTGCATGGAAGTGGCAGTGCTAAACCACATAATGAATTCCTCCATGCTTGTTGAAACATCATAAATTAATGAGCTACTTGTGAAGACAAACACTCTGTATGCTGGAATTTCCTGAAGTTGTTTTAGTACTTAATTATAATCTGGAATGTCTTTGCTTTACAAGAAAACAAAACAAAAATATTAAGGACTGTTTTTTAGTTATTATTTGCAATCATCACAAACCTCTAAAGGACTGGTATACTTGGACTAATAATTTAACAGCACAAAATTTCATGCACTTTAAAAAAAAAAAAAAAAAGAAAGATGGGAAGCATCCAGTTCAGATTTCCGACAAAGAAGGCAACAAATGTCTGCAAGGTGATATAAGGATGGGAAAACTGAAAGTAAATGAAATTCTTTATTCCAAAATATGTTTCAGTTTTGTTGTAAGTTTCAACTAATTAATCTGGTGTGAAAGGATTTTACTTACTTTTAATAAATGTATTGAAGAAATTAGAGTTTAGACTTTATGCTGGAATAGTCTGTGCTTAACTTAATATGTACAGTTAAAGTAGAAAGGTGCTTAGAGATAAAATAATTCCTTCTTTTTAAATGCTTGTCACATAGATATCTCACCTGGAACATGTTTGCAAGGACAAAACTGATACTATGAGGGATCTTCAGCAGAACCAAGAAGATGCTTTTCAAAATATAGCTGAACAGTTGAAAGCACAGGAACACTGTTGGCAGAAAGAAAAAAAGCATCTTGAACTGCAATATTCAAGTCTCCTTGCTGAAGCTCACGCAAGAGCAAAGGTATGGCACTGTAAACTTCTGATTTTTTTTTCCTTGTGAATACTTAATGGATTATTTCAGTAGTTTAAGTCCCTTTTCAATTTAAGGTTGCTTAGGAATTTTAGTTTATCTTTAAAGTAAAAAGAAACCAAAAAACCTTGTGCTACTATTAACTTCAGTTCTAATAAGAAATAAATGACTTTTTAAAAGCATTCTGAAAGGAATTTGGTCTACAGCCCTAATTCAGAAGCCTAATTTTGTCGATAGTTGCTAGTGATATTTTTTTTTTGAGAATGTTGAAGCTATGAGGTTGAATTTGCTTATTTTAAGACTTGCATAGGGCAGCAGTTACTTTTTCAGTGTCTGCTTTGCAAAGATTGTAGAGTAACAGTAATGTGGTGTCTGGGGGTAAATGTAGGTATGTACATGCTGACCCTAAGAGCCAATTAGCAGCTACAGTGGTAGATTTCAACAGTGTCAAAGGACTCTGTTTTACAGATACTACAATAAGCAGTGGTTCAAAAGTGTACAACTGTCATCACTGATTGTTAGACAAGTTATTTGTATTCTAAAATGTTTCCTGTTATTCTACAACCACAATTCACAGTCTTTACAGTCACATTCTTTACACCTGTTTAAATTAAAAATGTTGTGAAATAGAGGAAATAGTTATGCCTTGTTATTTGTGACTTACTACAACTTTACTTCATCAAAAAATGCTGTATTTGATACAGATTTGGGGGCTGGAAGTCTTTGCACACTGAAAAATGTATTTATGGAGTATTTAATCTGTCTAATTATATGTTCCAGAGTCTTCCTTATTCTTCTCCTCTTGCTTACACTACCTTTGTTTCTGCTTTGTAGAGCAATGTTCTTTCTGAAATTGGAGCATGTAATTTTCTATTGTTAAGTTAACTCATAAAACTGTATTGTGGACAACCATACGCTGTTGGACCTTCTCTAAGATATCACAGTACTAGTTGATTGTTGTCAGAAATCAGGAGTCCATTTGTTGTTGAAGACTGGAAATTTTCCTCACACTATTGATCTGGTTTCATACATCTGATTCTGTAACTGTTTACTAGAAGAAATACTTTTATCATCATTACTAATAATTTTTCCTACTTTAACATGTTATTTGAATGTGAAAATACTATTTTCTTTTAGCTTTTGTCTAGGTGAAAATGATCAGGTTAACATTTTTTCTGGTTTTGTTTGTTTTGGTTTTTTTTCCCTGTTATCCCAGGAATACCAAGCAGCAGCACAGCAAAACAGGGAAAGAATGTATGCCCTTGAAAAAACCCAGGAGAAACTGGCCCATGAAAATATTTCTGTGAGAAATAGATTAACAGCTGTTCAGAGGGAGCGTTCATCTCTCCTGGCAGCTTGTGCACTGTTATCTGGTACCCTGTGTCCCCTCTACAACCGACTATGTGCTATGGCTTCCCAAAAAGACCTTCTCCAGGATCAGGTCAACTTTTACGAATTTCTGAACCAGAGGATTGAGACTATAGTTCATAATTTCCCTGCTGAAGAGGAAAACAATCAAGATGAAGCCAGACGAAGACAAAGGAGAGCCAAAGACCTGGTTTATGTATTCCGAAGAGCTGTGATTGTAGTTTTGGCAGCCAATAGACTCAGAGCTGCAGCCCGGTCTTCTACTTCCCTCTTCACCTGGACAAATGGCTTAGAAGGAGGCAATGGGATTCAAGTTTGTGTGGGAGAATCTGAAGGCAGACGTAATGTGTCACATAAGCTAATTGTTTTCTTCTTTTGATAAATGTTCTGTTAAATTACATGGCTAGCAAATAAGAAAGAGCAATATTATTATTACTAGAGTGTAAAGACATATTTAATGATCCTTTAACAAATATAATTTCTGGATTTATGATTTTTAGATTTCTTGAGCAACACAATTTCACCTAGAAGTAAATACCTAGTCTGTTGAGCGTTGCAAATAAAGTTGCAACTACACACATGAACTCACACTTTTTGGTATCCTTGATATTTGTGTTATGGATTTCAAAATTAGGTGCTACTGCATCTTTGCTGTGGTAAATATCTTGTAATGTTCCTAAGTCATTAACACCAACATGTTTGGTGGAAGAATATTTCCTCTTCTTTTAATAATAATTTCTAAATATTTATTTCCTACTAAAAAATATACAAAAAGTTGGTTTCTGATTCATGTAGAATATTAGTATGGGACTTCTAAATTTTCTTTGGAGATCATGTAGTCTACTTGTCCATTTCTTTTATCAGACCAGTTTATGCTTCCCCCCACAAAGGGTAAGTGGTATCAAAAATGACTGGCAAACTAGAGATTCATCTACTTTTCTGTTTCAGTAGTTTTGAAAGCATGTTTAATACAGTCTAAATAGTCCTGACTAGTTTGTGGCTTATATGCTTAGTTTTGGTCAATTTCTGAAAGAGCTGGAGATAGTAGTGTGCCATATCTAAGTGATCCTGTTATATTGATAGTTGCAATTCTGTTTCACAGGTTATAGAGGTGGAGCTGACTGCCTTGAAGCACTTGGCTGGTTAACTAGCTCTAACCTCCATTCTGCAATAATCAGTTCCCTCTCTGAATTGCAGGATGTCCTTAGCAAACCAGGTACTTTTAAAAGTATATTCTTGTGATAGAAATATTAAAAAAAACCCCAAAGCCAAAACCAAAAAAACCCCAGGGTGATCACATAATTTCCAGTTTCAGGATTTTAGGTAAACTATTCTGGATTATATCTCTGAAGAGCTGTATTGTAGAATAGATTAATTTTATTTCATTGGTGATATTTTATTCAGTATACAGAGTCATGAAGGCAGAAGGCTGGAGAGTGCTTCTGGAGTTTATTTGCAGTGAGAACTGATATAAGCTCCCTTAGTTCATCTGCACTGTTGCCATCCCTGGTTCTTTGTTAACTTGTATTTTAAAGTCGTAGCATTTCTGTCACAGAGTAAAGGACATTGAAGGAGGGATACTTTATGTGAATAAAGGGAAGTAGCAGGACAGATAAGGTGACACATTTCCCAGAGGGCTAAAGAGTAAACTGGTACCAGAAGACTGCCACCTTATTTTGATTCAGTTGCAGATGCTTTCTTCTTTGATCATGTTACTTTCAGTAACCTGAATTTATGTCCTCACGAAGCAAAGTTTGAACTGTGTTTCAGATTCAACATTCTGTGTTTCAGAATATTTACAGGGTTCATACTGTGTAATTGAAAAAGAATCATGTATTACACCAAAAGACACTAAAAAACCTACTTGATGTTTCTTTTTTGTTGTTGTTTCTTAAAGATCCAAACTCCTGGCTTTCTGGAAACTCACTTATAAATGCAGCCAGGAGCTCCTTTTCAAAACTTATGGACAAGCTGTGCTTGATGCTGGGGACGGTTCCACTAAATTATCCCAGGTGCATCACTTACCTGGAGAAGGACTCCTTGATACAGAGGCTGGCTTGTGGACTTCTCAGAATAAATAACCAGGCCCTGGAAGCTGGATTGCATGAGAGACTGCCCAGTGTGGTAAGCATATTTATAGTGCTACTTCATGGAAGCAGAAGGGCCACAGAGTGTTACAGTGAGTCTCTCTTTATAGTATCATTAATTGTGTTTCAGATTGTTTGAATCCATTGCAATGAAGTCAACAATAAGGACAATCAGAAGTTGATTTGTAACACCCAAAAGTGTTGGGGCATGAATAGACCTTTTTTTTTTTACTGTGAAAGGATTTTTAGAAGAGGCTTAGTGTATGCAAGTAAAAGATTTTTTGAGGTTCCATCAGAACTGTATTTGCTTATAGGAACAAACTTGCTTTTGGTTTTAACTGTCAAGGTTCTTTTTCTTTAAAGTATTTCCTATTTTCCCATGTCTACCATGAGAAGGTAACCTTGTTCCCTTTAATTATAATGGAAGGATAAACTCTTTCTCTCATATTCTGTCTTTTATTGTGGGCCTTATGTGAAAACAGTACTTCCTTATAAACAGAATTTTCAGTAACCCTCAATAGATGAAACAGGTTCACATTTTTGCACTTGTGAGTGTCTTTTAGAGGCAGAGGACAAAAAGGCTTTGTCTTAATTTTCTTGGGTGTTAGCTGCGATTTATTTTATCACTAAACCAGCAAATTTTATAGCACATTACTTTGTTTCTATTGCCAACAGAGAAATGTAACATCCTTGCAGCAGCTGGTGTTTGAATACACACGAAGACTTCATATGGCAGAGACAAAGTGCCGCTCAATGGGCCTGCAACTTGAAGAATTCAAATGGAGTTTCAATGAGATGAAAAAGGATGCTGAAAAAGCCAGGAGCCTGCAAGAGCAATTAAATACATTACAGCATGTAAGCATATTTGATTTCAAGATTGTCTTGCTCATCAGAGAACTTCCCTTTTACACATTTTTTTACTTTGTGTTCCTTTGAAAAACAAATATAGAATCTAGTCCTGATAAAATTTTCCAGAAAACTTACCTTGTAAATGTCACTAAACTAGAAGTCAGATGTATTTAGAAATATCTCCTTTCCACTGAAGTTTCTTTTTGATTTGTAGAAGGAGATATTCTTTGCAAATTACATGTTTGGTCTCCAGCAATCCAGGTTTTCTTCCATTTGTTGAAAATGTTGATGTGACTTATATAACCTGAAAGAATTTATAGATTTCACTTCAGCACAGTAAAGTCAGTTGGAATGAGGGTAGTCAGTAAGTGTGTTTATGAGAAGTTCATAAAGTATAAATACAGCCATTTAAACTCTACATGGATATTGCTGACTGTTATGATAGACATTTTACTGTGTCTTTGACTGTGAGTTATATTCTGAGATAGTTAACACAAATTTTAGTGGAGCTGTTTCCTTGAGTGAGTAAGTTTATGGCAGGGGGAAAAAACCCTCTTCTACCTTCTCAGTGCACATATGCACCAAATTCCCCTGAGTCTTAACTGTCATTGGTTGCTTTAGTTAAACACCATGGGTTCATTAGCCTGTAAAGACCACTGTCTGACGGGGATGAGAAGAGACAACAAAAAAGGTTCCTTAACTAGTTGAAGCCCTCAGATAGTGAGTAACAGATGAGGTGCTTGCAGAACTGATGCCATTTGATGAACTCACTTTGATCCCTGTCATACTTATGGAACTGTGCCTTCAGTCCTTCTTGGAAGGGAGGAAACCTGTCTTGCTTTAGCATGCTGGAGGTTCCCTAAGCACCTTTCCTCCCATGCTTATTTTCTACAGGCTGAATTCAGAACTGAGCTCACATTTGAGCTTCCTGAGAAAGTGAATGGGTAAGGTTCCTTAGTCATGCTCTACAGGGGCACAGTGTAACTGAAACAGTTGTGTCCCAAAATAAGCAGTGTTTTCCATGGTTGTGTTGATCCTGAAGCCTAGTTGGTAGACTTTCCAGTGTGCCCCAACCTAAACACTTCCAAGCAGAGAATATTTACTAGATGATGTTGTACCCATTCTCCTTCCTGTTCCTAGCTGGGAAAATGAATTTTTTTTTTTTTCTCAAATGAAGAAGGCTATATGTGATCATTGTCAGTTTTGTTCTTAATGAGTTTTATTACTGTACAATTCTGGGATAGTTAGGTGAAATTGTCTCATTTTAGATTGTCAATTCAAATTTAGATTGTCATTCAAATGCAGATGATTTTACTTGAAGAACTGTTCCCTCTTTCTGGAACAGTTTTGGGAGGGGAGAAAAAGTCCAAGAAAGTGTTCACAAGGGTTAACAAGATATGCACTAAAATGTTGGACATTGATCTGTATATATTTCCTTCTAAAAATTGATATTTTGCAAACTAGAGTGCTAATTTGGATAGAATAATGAATACCTAGTCTTAACAGTACCCTGCGTGCTCTTTAGAAAAAATACTGTTAATAAGCTAGTCTGAGGTTTTATTGTTCAGTAACCTGTCTTCATGTTAAGAAACCTAACTATTTATCTTTAGCATGCATTTGTTTTAGAATTTGATAGGTTTGCAAGTGGAACTTAGAAATTCAGGTAGGTAAACTAGTGAATATAGTTATCAATACAATCAAATACAATTTATTTCTCTTTTCAGAGAATGATCACCCAAGACAATATACAGGAAGAATTAAATAATGCGTTACAGCGTGAGCACGAGGCAAGACTGCTTTTAATTAAACAGGAGCAACAGCTAAATGAATTAAACAATAGACTACAAATACTCTCCAGCGAAACAGCAGATAAAGGCCAAGACCTAAATCTATCCATAAGGGTAAGATTATTCTTCTGGAATAGTTACCAGAAATTTACCTCTCGTTAATATTGCATGTCTTGTGCAAAAAAATTACAGGAGAAAATGCACATTTACTGCTGAGTCAGAATTTTTGGGTACTCAGAAAAGATTTTAAACTACTTTTTTTTTTTCCCCCCTTTGAACTCTAGGTGTTGTTTTTAAACTTGGAGGAAAAGACTTTAATGAACATTTTTTTCTCTCTTGCAGCTTACCAAACTCAGCTTTATTCATGCCTTTGTTAATGACAGGCAGAAAGGGTCTCTACCTGTGCCCCGGCATTCCAACTGACAGACCCTTTTCTCTTAGCTAATTGGGTTTTGTGGCTCAGAATGCTGGTTTAGTTTGTTTGGGGGTGGGGTGGTTTTTTTGTTTGTGTAAGGGTTTTTTTTTGGTTTTGTAGCTCTTATTTTGCAGTACAGTGGAACAATCTAATCTTTAATAATCAATCTTGATCTTGTAAAACAGTGTTCTTACAAATTCTTGCTTTGAATTCTTTATTCAGTTTTTAAACGTGTAAGAGGGGGAAAAATATAATATTAGCTACTTTTGGTTTTGATAGCTTATTTTTAAACTTATTCATGCTTAACAGCTATCAATAAGAAGGTATTTTGGTATACATGTACTTTCATAAAGTAGGCTTGTTAAAGCAGTAATACTTAATTTCTTCACTTTATCAGTTCAAATTTTAATCTTGCATATTTTTATCTTTTTAATGGCTTATACCATAGAAACATCCAAGGTAGCTCATCACTGTCAAGGTCAACTGGGACTAAGTAACTATTTTATGCTACTGTTTTTTATTAGATGTGGTAAATCAGTAGCTCTGATTGCTCTGTGTTGGAAAAGAAACTTTTACACAAACACTAAATGGTTATCTATGCCAGACAGAAATTTTACTCCTGTTACAAGCTAGTCTTAATGCAGTATTTTTTTTTCTTCCTAATGATGTTCATTGTGTGTATAGTTACTTTCTTTTAGAGATATTAGTACCTGTAATAAAACCAATCTATTTTTAAATTTGTGAAGTAAGTCATATAAATTGTTAATGAATTGCATTTGAAGTGCAATATACGTTAAATCATGTAGCTGCCACTGATATACCCCAAAATAGTCTTCAATACATGTTTTAGAAGAAGATACCCTCCATTTTGGGCTTGTTTACTGTGCTAATTTTAGTGAAGCTGCCACTGATTTACAACATCATAAGTCAGAAAAGAATCTCATCCAAATGCTTTGATAACACTCATGGAAAAATGTTTTCTGATATGAAGGTTTGGCATGTTTATTTTAACTATTTATTTCATTAAAATCATTATATGCACATTCTGTGTTCCGAAAACGTAGTGTCCTTTGCTAAAGACACACATCTAAATTCATTAAATTCAGGTGGAGTTTGGGATTTCTAGGCTTGTTAGAAATGAATGTTTTCCCTGAGCAGCCTCCCTATTCATGGGTGGATTTCAGGTGAAGGTGATAGACAATTTTGTACCTTCTGTTCCTTTTCCTCTTCTTGCATTTATAGCCGCATAATGTCCCTGAAAAATAATTTCCATTATTTATATGTTTTCTTTTATTAATATTATTGCACACACTTTAAAAGTTTTGTTTAGTTTTACTTTGAAGCTGAGTGACATGTGAACATAGGATGTCTGTTCTGGAAGAGGTGTTATTACGTTGAATTATTCAAGAACGGCTAGTATATTTAAATTACTAAGCTCTTTAACTTGAAAGTACATACAACTCAATGGCTTCATAAAGCATTTTTAATCATACCTTGCTAAACATTTTGACCTAATGTAAATGCAAAATGCGTTCTTTTCTTGTTGATTAGAATAGATATTCTCACGAGAACAAATGCTTGCTTTGTAGCAAAGTGATGTTAAACTTAGCTTAAAATCTTTGAGGCACTGCAATTCAACCTAAACCATTAGAGGTGAAATGCCTGTGGCACCTAAACTTACTTGGATATCTGAGATCTATGTTTTAAACTATTATCTAGAAATTACAGACTTTGTGACAGCAAGTGGCATTATGTAAGTGACTAAAATCACTTTGTTTGCTAAAGCATATTTGTACATAGGCAATATAATAAAAATGGAGGGTTCTGAGTCAGTAATGGTTTTATGAATTCTCAAGCGAAAACTTAGTACGCAATGGTCCAAATCTACCTCGCAGCCAGTTAGTTTTCCACTTTGGTTAACTGGCAATGGCATAAACTGAAGTTAATTATTTGAGCTGACAAGTAACTCTGCTTTCTATCTGCTTTCAGAGTCTCCCAGAGACAGCAATGGATATGAGAAGAAAAGACCGAGTTCTGAACCACCAAAAAAGGCTTCTTACCCAAATGGAGCAGGACAGGCGTCGACTGCAAGAGAGTGTCCAAAATGCAGAGCGCGCCCTACGTACAGCAGAGAAGTGAGTTCTGGGACCTTGGAGACATCCCTTAAACCAGACAAAACATCAGTTCCTACTTTCATGTGCAGGGTTTTAGCCTTGGCTAATGTGATGCTAGAAGACAAAAGTACATCTGCCTCTCTTCGAAATTCAGATATTGTCTTCTAAAAAGAAAACTATTAGCTAGCTCAAAATACTAGATGATATGTTTTCTGTAGTTATCCCATAATAGTCTCCAGATTCTGAGTGCTGAAGTAGTATGGGCATTTGTTTACAGTTATCCTAAGGATTTGAAAACATCTCTTTGGCAAATCCTTAGCAGTCTGTTCATTTAAGAAATCATTATTCTTTCTATTTCCACATAGTCTTTTTATAGAGAGATGCAGTTTATTTATAATAAGTACAGAAGCATCAGCTGGGTGACAGGTTTTAGCTGCCAAAGGGGCTGAAACCCATTTTGGACCTAGTCTTATCCCCAGTAGAAGCATTTTTCATATGGAAATTTGCCAAATAGTGGTACACAAACTATTTTTAGGGTTTGCATGGGAGATATAAAAAGGAGAGATAAAATTGTAAGAGTTTGAGTTATCAAGAATTATTTTATAAGACATGACAATTATAAAGCAGCAGAAAATTAATTTCTACATCAGTAGAACTTTAGTTTTATAAACTACTCACTTGTTTTTACTTTTCTTTTTCTTGTAATAGTGACAGAGAATTGATCATTACTCATATGAAAGCTGTGGAAACCACGCTTCAGATGGTAAGAATTTGAAGGGTTCCCTCTGATTTGTGTTTCCAAAGAGATCAGGGTTTTACAACCGCTTATCCTCAGGGAAGGAGGGGAGTAGAAATTGTTTTAGAACAAATTCCTTTCCTTAGGGGTGAAGTTACCCTCTTCAACTTCTTTAATCTTAAAAAAAATGCAGTGAAATAAAATGTAATTTTGTAGCACACAAACTTCTTATTTTGAATATAAAAGTTACTACAAAATTCACTTTCCCTCAATCACTGACTACTGTTTCTGGTTGCCAAGGGTTGACTATGGAACATCCAAAAAACTGGCAACTGCTGTTGAGTTAACTCTCTACTGGGTGAGGTGGAGGTCATTTGCTGAGGTCACATACATGGTGGCCATAAAATATTTGGCTTTGTGTGTACTACTTAAACCTTTGATACATAATAAATGGAATAAGGAGAAGACAGTAAGTAATAACCTGTGGTCAGAAACTTAATTGATATTTTTAGAACACTTTTTAAATTGAGTAATAATATTAAGTTGTCTCTTTGACTTGTACTATTTTCCCAGGTATAGGATTATTTGAAGGTCCAGCGAAGCTGTATACATTAATTATTTGGGAGAAAGGTGGCTTTTTGGTTTGTTTTGGTTTTGGGTTTTTGTTCTTTGTTTGTTTGTTTGTTTGTTTGTTTGTTTTTTAACAGTAGCTCTAATGACTGATTGCGTTATAACTATTTTTAATCCAGAGCAGCATGGGGGGGGGGGGGAAGTGTTTTTTTATTACCTTAGAGTATTAATTTCCACTACATTTTTAATTCCTAGCAACATGGGAATCTATTCCTTATTTTAGATTCTGTGTTCACCAAAACTGTTGGTAATTTAATTTTCAGATATCTTTTTCAAGTCTCTCTTTCTTTTAACGTTCACAAAAAGTGACAGAACCTAAAATGTGTGTTTTAGCTGTAGCAAAATATGCTGACAGATAATTTGCTTCGTGCCACCATCATCTTCATACAGCTTCTCTTAAGCTTCTGAGGTGGATGTCATGCAGAAACTTCTGTGTTTTTACAGTGACATGGACAGGCTGTGTCCTTGGCCTTCTCATTTGAGACTGGGGAAAGATCCTTTTCTTTGTAGTGGTTTTTCCCAGCACTCTGAATTAGAGATTTATTTCCAATGAAAAATCAAATAGTCCTAAATTTATTCTTGGATTGGAGGTTCAGTCATCCATGCAAGTCCACTCAAAGGGCTCAAGTGGACCAGTTCATCCCCATTAATTTTCTGAAGGAGAATCAACATTGATACTGGGATTTTTTTCTTTTTAGGTCAGAGAGCAGACCTTGGTGCAAAGTGGTGCAGCAGCCACAACTGAGTTCTGCCTGGAGCTACCCAGACTGCAAATAGATGCCCTTCCAGATGAAGAACTGTGGGGCAGGCCAGAGGCTATAGCATTCCAGGTTAGAGTTTAAAACAATCCTGTTTCTTTCTTTATTTTTATTTTCATTTTCTTTTTTTTGTATCTGAGATAGAACAAGCAGCTAGACTGCTCTGAATGTGTGGAGAGTAAAAAGCTTCAAAACTATTGCAGTCAGCAGTTGAAAGACAAATACTTTCCATATATACTCTAGCACATGCTATTTCAGAGCTAATGGGAAGTACTAATTTTGCAGGTGTTAAATAACTGATAGGAATATGACCGTGAAGAAATGCACGTATACCTGAAAATTAATATCCCTCTATCCCCCTCCCTTTCTTCCTCTTCATATGAGCAAGACAAATTAAAAAAGAACCGCTTGTGGTTACTGAGGAGGTACGCAAACAGCATCAATGGTTCACAGTCCTGTCGCTGTGAAGTCCCTTCTCTCCCTGTCCCTTTTCTCCCTCTCCTCATCTCTGGTTACATTGTGCCTGTTTGGTAACTTTCTCAGAACATTATGGAGATTTTATTGTAAAATTTGCCTTTTATAACTAGGAGTCAGCTAATTGATTTTAATTTCTCTGTATGCAAAACTATATCCTGTGATGTTGAATGAGGTAAGAAGTTAATAATCACTAGGGACACTTCTTATTAAAGCAGTGAAATTGTTTGCGAACATGTCCTCTAGAATTGCTATAATCAATCTGTGACAGGCACATATGATCTGCAAGAATCCTCTTTTAGGACTAGCACCATAGCACTGGAACATTTTGGATGCTTTTTCTGATGAGAAAAGATATATGATGGTGTTAATTTGCTACTGCTGTTTCCTACACTTCACAATGACAAAACCTGATTGATTTCAGCTATGTTAACTTTTATTCTGAAAAGCAGTAGTGTGTCTGAGAAAGAGAAACAGCAAAAAAGGTTTGTAAATGCCTCTTTGAGGTACTAAATTTATTTTTGTCTATACTACAGATTTACATTCAAAAGGACAATTTCATATTATCTGAAGAGAAAACTATAACTTATAAAATGTGATCAGTTACTTTTAAGGAAGACTAATATTTTCAACTACTTATGGTAGATATAAAGTTTCCAGTACTGCCTAATCATTGGTACTCTGTCATGCTGCTAATTTTATTATCAATCTAATCAATATTACAACTGGGACATTCTTCCAGTATATACATAAAAACAATTATATTTCCCAAGCTGTATTGTAATCAGATTATTTTGTCTGGCTTATAAACCTTGTTCGATTTCTCCAATTAACAAAAAATTCTCTTCCCTAATGAATTTGGAAGTATGCTATTTGGCATTTAGATATAGCTTGCTTGTCACTGATGATTTATTTTACTTTTCAAAGGACTTGATTCGAAGTTTTATGGACATCTACCAACTTGCAGCTAGTAGAATTGAAACATTACTGAGAGAATCTCCTCAGCTTCACACTGCAGCCCAAAGATCCAGACAACAAACATTCACCTTTCGTGAAAGTTATGGTAAATCACTTCTCAAGCAATTTTTGTCATTCCGATGTAGTTTCCTAGCCAGCATCTCCCTTCAAGCTGCATAGTTTCTGTAGGCAAATACAATAATACTTAATTATAAACATAATGGAGCAGTAAAACTAGTGTCAACAGAAACCGCCTGAGACTTTTTTCAAAAGAGAAAGACACTCAGTCCATTGGTGTCATGTTAAGTGCCAGAGAGTGTCTTTCATGGGCCAAGGTCATAACGTATTTCATGTGTTAGGACATGACTGGGGGAATGCTTCCCAGATATTGCAAGAGCAGATTTGGATGCAGGCTGGATGAAAACTCTACTTGGCTTTCTCACTAACCTTTTCTATACAAATTTTTTTTGGATACTCAGTATCTAGGTATGTATACTTTTAGCTTGTTAGGCTATTGTAACACATTTGGAAATTACAGTAATTTGATTTAAATGTTGCCTACAAGGCAAAAGGTTCTGCTAATAGGATGCAAGTGTAATTAAAGTGCAGAACCAAATGTAACCAGTTCTCAGTGACTGGAGCCTCCATATCTATAGTTTCACAGTGGCCCCTGCGTTTGAAAGTTTATGTTAAAGTTACTAATATAGCTGCACTCGAGAAAAAGAGCAAGACAGTTGAGCTGTTGAAACAGAGATGGCAACATCCTGAGGTGAAAAGTCACATGAGAAGAGTTGGTAGTCTGAATTTTAGGGCAGTCTTCCATTGGCAGGTGGTAGAAGCACAAGACTTCTGGGGTGTGAGAGAATTGCATTCTGCAGCAGTACAGCTGCGTAAACATCCCCAAAGGAAGGACCTTGCTGTGAATAAGTAGCGATGTGGTTTTTCAATAATGCTGTTCCTTAATTTCTGTGAATTCCTGTTGGAATAATCTGGAAGTCATAGACACACCATCTTCTAGCAGACTGACATTTAAAGAGTATTAAGTGTTTGATTTCAATTGATGGTAAAATAAATCAAAAAGTAAATGAGTACCTTCTGTGGTTAGCATGGCAAATGTTTCCTAGTGACAGTGATAGGGAGACTGTAAAATAACTTTGTTTACTTGATTAAAATGACCCATGCCCTAGAAATTATAATGATAGGGGTTAAAAGTTCTCTCTAAGTATTTGTAGCACTTCAAATAAAGTATGCTATTGTTTTCTAATACTTCCTGGTGCAGAATACTTGATATAAGGTCCTTGTTTCTATCTATTAGAGATTAATGTATGTAGTCAGGTGCCACGTATTTTAAATAAGTGCTTCAAACAAGAAGGATACACTTGCAAGTACTTCACATACATACCTTTTGTGAAAGGTATTTAACAGTAAATATAGATTCCCTTTTGATTTTTTTTTTATTCTTTATTCTATTGCAGAAAGCGGGAAAGAGTCTAAACATCCAAGTAGCTTCAAGCTAGATAGTCAGGCTGACCAGAGTTACGTCCCAGAGTTTTTGCTATTGCCAGCAGAAGCTGAAATGTCTTCCAGCATGAAACTACAAAGAGCTGGTACTCAGTCTCCAATGCATGTGTCCTGGGGTGTGATACCAGAGAGACCCAGTGCCGGGTCTTCAATGTCCGCTGGTGGGATACTGGACAGAACCAGAACTCGTTCTCCAATCCACATGTCCTCCAGTGGGATACTGGACAGAGCCAGTACTGGGCCTTCAATCCATGTGTCTCCTGGTGAGATATCAGACAGAGCTGGAACCGGGTCTTCAACCCACATGTCTGCTGATGTGATACCAGACAGAAGCAGTATTCGGTCTCCAATCCACATGTCCTCCAGTGGGATACCGGACAGAGCCAGTACTGAACCTTCAATCCATGTGTCTGATGATGCAATACCAGAAAGAACCAGAACGCAGTCTCCGACCCACATGTCCCCTGGTGTGATATCAGACAGACCTGGTACTGAGCTTTCAATCCATGTGTCCCCTGGTGCAATACCAGACAGAAGCAGTACTCGGTCTCCCATCCACATGTCTGCTGATGTGATACTAGACAGAAGCAGTAGTCTATTTCCAACCCAAATGTCCTCCAGTGGGACAGCAGACAGAAGCAGTACTTGGTCTCCAATCCACCTGTCCTCCAGTGGGATACCAGACAGAAGCAGTACTCAGTCTCCAATCCACCTGTCCTCCAGTGGGGTACCAGACAGAAGCAGTACTCGGTCTCCAATGCACCTGTCCTCCAGTGGGGTACCAGACAGAAGCAGTACTCGGTCTCCCATCCACATGTCTGCTGATGTGATACTAGACAGAAGCAGCAGTCTATTTCCAACCCAAATGTTCTCCAGTGGGATATCAGACAGAAGCAGTACTCAGCCTTCAATCCACCTGTCCTCCAGTGGGGTACCAGACAGAAGCAGTACTCGGTCTCCAATGTACCTGTCCTCCAGTGGGGTACCAGACAGAAGCAGTACTCGGTCTCCCATTCACATGTCTGCTGATGTGATATTAGACAGAAGCAGTAGTCTATTTCCAACCCAAATGTCCTCCAGTGGGACAGAAGACAGAAGCAGTACTCAGTCTCCAATCCATCTGTCCTCCAGTGGGGTACCAGACAGAAGCAGTACTCGGTCTCCAATCCACCTGTCCTCCAGTGGGGTACCAGACAGAAGCAGTACTCAGCCTCCAATGCACCTGTCCTCCAGTGGGATACCAGACAGAAGCAGTACTCGGTCTCCCATCCACATGTCTGCTGATGTGATACTAGACAGAAGCAGTAGTCTATTTCCAACCCAAATGTTCTCCAGTGGGATACCAGACAGAAGCAGTACTCGATCTCCAATCCACCTGTCCTCCAGTGGGATACCAGACAGAAGCAGTACTCGGTCTCCAATCCACCTGTCCTCCAGTGGGATACCAGACAGAAGCAGTACTCAGCCTCCAATGCACCTGTCCTCCAGTGGGACAGCAGACAGAAGCAGTACTCAGCCTTCAGTGCACCTGTCCTCCAGTGGGACAGCAGACAGAAGCAGTACTCAGCCTCCAATCCACCTGTCCTCCAGTGGGATACCAGACAGAAGCAGTACTCGGTCTCCAATCCATCTGTCCTCCAGTGGGACAGCAGACAGAAGCAGCACTCAGCCTTCAATCCATCTGTCCTCCAGTGGGATACCAGACAGAAGCAGCACTCAGCCTTCAATGCATCTGTCCTCCAGTGGGATACCAGACAGAAGCAGTACTCGGTCTCCAATCCATCTGTCCTCCAGTGGGACAGCAGACAGAAGCAGCACTCAGCCTTCAATGCACCTCCCTCCTACCAGTGGCAGACTCGGTCTCAATCCATCTGACCCTCCGTGGGACAGCAGCCAGAAAGTACTCAGCCTTCCAATCCATCTGTCCTCCAGTGGGACAGCAGACAGAAGCAGCACTCAGCCTTCAATCCATCTGTCCTCCAGTGGGATACCAGACAGAAGCAGCACTCAGCCTTCAATCCATCTGTCCTCCAGTGGGATACCAGACAGAAGCAGCACTCAGCCTTCAATCCATCTGTCCTCCAGTGGGATACCAGACAGAAGCAGCACTCAGCCTTCAATCCATCTGTCCTCCAGTGGGATACCAGACAGAAGCAGTACTCGGTCTCCAATCCATCTGTCCTCCAGTGGGACAGCAGACAGAAGCAGCACTCAGCCTTCAATCCATCTGTCCTCCAGTGGGATACCAGACAGAAGCAGCACTCAGCCTTCAATCCATCTGTCCTCCAGTGGGATACCAGACAGAAGCAGCACTCAGCCTTCAATCCACATGTCCTCCAGTGGGATACCAGGCAGACCCGGTACTGGGTCTTCAATCCAAGTGTTGTCCAGTGTGATAACGGACAGACCTGCTTCTGGGTTTACAATCCATGTGTCCCCTGGTGAGATATTGGACAGAACAAGAACTCTGTCTCCAATTCACATGTTCTCCACTGTGACGCCAGACAGAAGTCATACTCCGCCTTTAATCTACATGTCCCCTCGTGCAAAGCCAAACAGAACCTATAGTGTGCCTTCAATCCATATGTCCTCTGGTGCGATACTGGACAGAGATGGTACTGGTTCTTCGCTGGACATATCCTCCCATGTGTTACCGGAAAGAGCCGGTACTGGCTCTTCACTGGACATATCCTCTGGTGTGAGGCGGAGCAGAACCTTTATTGTGTCTGCGAGAAACATGTCCCCCAATGTGATACCACACAGAACTGGTACTGGTACTGGGTCTTCAGACATATCCTCTGGTGTGTTGATGGACAGAATCAGTTCTGAGCCTTCAGTGGACGCATTCGTCTTTGTGAGGCCACACCAGTTTGGTGGTGGGTCTTCAATGGACACATACTCCAGTGTGACACCAAACAGATCTAGTTCGCTGCCTTCAATCAGGTCTTTCAGCCAGGATCTCTTATCCAGTACTAGAAAAACAGAAGGAAATCAATTTTCAGAGTCTTAGCTATGTCAGTTTCCCTTAGCTATATGTCAGCTTCCCCTTCAGAAGGAAAAAAATCTGTTAGTATAAAATGATGTAATTAAAAAATAATCTAGCAACTACCTTGGAGTTGTAGTTTGGTGTCTGTGTGGGTTTTGTCTGTAATTTTATATTTTAATGAAAATACGCATTCATATCTTCACATTTCTCTGCTTCTCATTCTCTGTACCCTGAAACAGTTATTTTTTTAAGTTTTATTTATTGCAGTTAATTTTTATGTAGTATATTTTTTAATGTTACAAACCAACACATTTTGGGTAATTTTCTTAATTCTTAAAAAAATCCATTAGCTATTTTAGTCTATTTCTGTCAAAGTTGTCTCATACCTGTCTATTTTAAACCAGGACTGCAATACTTCATTAAGATTGAGAGAACTCTGTGAAGCATATGCAAATGACTTCTGTCATTTCATGGCAGCCCTGCCGTGGTTCCCTGAGCCTCTTCTTTTCCCTTGTCAGCTCAACCAAAGATATACATTTAGTTGCATACTTAAAGCAGATTGAACAAAATAGAAAAGGTGTGATGGCTCTTTTGGTGCACACTCACTGATTTTTCTGCTTTTTCAGCTGCGTAAGAATCTCATCCAGGCAAAGAGATTGCAGTGAGTGATACAAATCCCCTCGGCAGGAACCCAAATGCTCTATAGTTCCAGCTGAAAGCTTGCATCTGCACAAGATCTTCTGGCTGCCCCACTCTTCATTTGGTTTTGGCTGGAAATGCAATTGCACTTTCTTCCTCATCTAAAAGTACCAAGGCTGGAAAAAACCAGTCAGTGGGTGATATTCCAAAGGCAGTGTGGTCTGGAGTTGGTGAATGAAGGAGATCCTTCCCCAGTTCCAAATGATATAAAATAAAAAACCAACCAAAACATAAAAAAGACTCTCCATTCTTAAGGAACAACTGACAATTCAGAAGTGAAGGCAGAACTTATTTGCAGGGTGAAAAGGAAGGGAATCTACCAATGTGGTTGAGGTTTTATAATGGTTTTACTCTGAGTCCCACTCACAGCTAACACTGGACAAAAACTTCTGGAAGGGCTGATTTCTCCTGACTGTCATAAATTGTTTCACTGCAATGATCAGAGGCATCAGGCTGGAGGTAGGCTTGGCTGATGTTACAAATAGATGCTGCCCAAAGGAAAAAAAAAAAAAAAGAGATGAACTTTTACTTCCCAAACTCAGTTCCTCACAGGCTCAAGCAGGATTTCTCCGGTTCCCAGAAATACACAGAAATAGGACTGAGAGGACCATCTGCACCTACATGATCATGCCCAGGACCTTGCAATCTCAGGCAGATGTGACCCATAATCCCCTGAATCCATTATCAAGGTGTCTTCAGATAACTGGGATTTTCGCCCTACTAGTTCTGTGGGAATGCTTCTTCCTGTCCAAGAGATTTGTTCCTTTCAGGAAACTCAAAATGCTTGCTCAGGTTCCTCTTTCTGCAGACATGGGCTATTTTAGTTGTCAAAAAAGATGAGGAGCATAAACCATTTCTCAGGAAACTCCAATCCCTCCAAAAAATGTTGATCCTAGTAGGATTTAGGCCACGTGTTGTTGTGAAGACCACTGAGGTACAGGTTTTCAGCACCAAGACAAGAGCAGGGACACAAGTGGCAGAGCGCTGATGTCCTCTGCTCCGGGTTGCAGGGAGAGCAGTGTCTACATTTCCATCCCCTGACCCTTCTGTGCTGCCTGGCATGTTCCTTCCCAGCAGGGACAGCCCATTGTCATGTTCTGCAGCTCCCAATCTGCCATAAAACCTGACAGTAACCCTGTAGCAGTTCTCATCTGCTTGACCATGCCAGGCAGCAACTGGGGCTGGGACAAGTCGTGCTCAGCTGTCCCTGTTTGGGTGGCAGAAACCCCTAAGAGTAGGTCTACTTTTACAAACAGAAGTTGTATTTTTTTAAATTAAAATTCTATTAAATTGTATTTAATGATACTAAATTTTTAATATAATTATTATAATTAATTTAAATGGTATTAATAAAATTTAAATTTAAGTTGTATTAAATTTAAAATTATAAGCAACACAACCAGGCCTGTATTTTCTGGTCTGAAAATATTCTGCATCAAAACTCTATAAAATCCTGCTGGTTTTTCCAAGCAGCACTGAACACAGAGATTCCTTCATGTTCTGCTAGGGAGAATGAGGAGAGACTGAAGGAGCTGGGGTTGCTTAGTCTGGAGAAGAGGAGACTCAGGGGAGACCTCCTCACTCTCTATAACTCCCTGAAAGGAGGTTGTAGCCAGGTGGGGGTTGGTCTCTTCCCCCAGGCAATCAGCAGTAGGACAAGAGGGCATGGTCTTAAGCTCTGCCAGGGGAGATTTAGGTTGGATATTAGGAAGAAATTCTTTACAGAGAGGGTAATCAGGCATTGGAATGGGCAGCCCAGGGGAGTGGTGGATTCTCCATCCCTGGAGGTTTTTAAGATGAGACTGGATGTGGCACTTAGTGCCATGGTCTAGTAACCGCAGCGGTAGTGGATCAAGGGTTGGACTTGATGATCTCAAAGGTCCTTTCCAACCCAGCTGATTCTGTGATTCTATGATTCTATGAATTTAGCCTCATGTGGCCTTCTGTCCAGGTTGATGCCTTAACTACAGATATTCCCCTATTTCCATAGAGGAGAAGTGGCATCCAGCACGTTATGGCTGTGGCAACTAGAAGTGCAAGGCACACAACACTAGGAAAAGTGTTTAAGAAAAGAGGCCAGGTATTGCCCTGCGGTTAAGAAGGTGAAGTCCTTCACTCAGCTTAGTGCCCTCAGTGCCCTTGTCATCATTCAATGGTAATTGTTTTCGGATCAATGCACAAACACTCCATGGAATAGAAGAGCTGCACCTGCCATCTCCAGTGCAACTGCAATTTTAAAACAAAAATATAGAAAGAAAGGAAAAATCCAGCCCTAAGGTTTAATGAAAAATCCAGCACCTCAAAGGTATTGAGCCACTTAATTCCCATTATTTGTTTAGCACAGACAGGTGTCTCAATCCTACATATTTTTAGCTGGTAGAGACCATCTTCCCTGAACATCAGAAAAGAGTTTTTAAAACTAAGAAAGAACGGGCAAAAGCTTCAATAGTCCTTTGTTCTTTCTTAAACAAATAAGTAAAAAAATCTTTTTGAGAAAATCCGAGCTCCTTAAATATGTAAGAAAGGGAAATGAAGAATTATTGCCCTTTGGAGATGCCATTATTTTGCCATGGAGTTGGTTTTAACTGCTGCCTTAAGACTGAGAGCCAAAAAATTACTCACCAGGCAATTATTAGTAGAGATAAGATAATAGAGCAGTTTTAATAGAGGGCCTTCCCCCACAGAGGTATAGAAACATGTGCACACGTGTCCAGGGGGTTCCACAATTTAAGGTATTATTCCATCCAATCTTAGATTTATCCACCCCTCAGGTCCTCCCACCGGCACACCCTTCTGGAAATTGAGGCAAGGGGTTCAGGGACCCCCTCTTCCTCATCTTCCTCTTCATCACAGCATGTCCAGTCCTTGGAGCTCCTCCAAAGTTCTGGGTTTTGAGGGATGCTTTGACTATGATGTATCTTGTTGTTCAAGCCAGAGTGCAAATGTTCTTAAACAGAAAGAAGGCCTATCTTGAGGGAAGTCTAAGCAAGCGAAAGGAATTTAGAAAGTTGAATATGAAATGGGGTAATAGGGTTGGGTAAATGTGTAAACTACTGTGCTAAAGGGTGAGCTAACTATAGCTAGTCCTAAAATCTACAAGAAGCTAAAAATCAAAAAAATCCATAGGGATCAATCAGATGAAGTTTTATGACACACAGTGGCAATCGCCCATCTTTGATGGGTGGACCTGCACTAAAGAAGAAAGTCAGTCTCCACAGACCGTCGAGTCACAACATGCATTTTGGAAAATCACAAGGCTCTTAAACAAATAATCTTCATTTGAGGAAGGCTTCCTTGCCATGCTGCAAATAGTCACAAGTAAATATGAGTTCACATAAAGTTAATTTTTCCAGGGGAAAAAAAAAAGACATAAATAACACAGATGTGGAAGCTGAGTGTGCTTCTATGAGCAGATTTCCTGAATCCCCCGTTTTGAGGAGTCTCAGCATTACAGAACCCAGAGGGACCAGCTTACTCTGTGGATGTTTATGTTCCCAGTGTCAGGGTCTGACGGGGCTGTTTGGGAGCTGCAAAACATGAGAATCTTTTCAGAATCCCATTAAAAAAAAAAAAGTTTAAATCAACTTTTAGGTTCAAGTGACTTGAAGGAACCACCCTACATTAAACACCATCTCTTTCACACCACACAGCACACGATTTTCCATAGTCCTTGTTCCCAAAGGATGGGGCCGGTCGGTCGCATCCGCACTGTTCCCACATGCCTGATGCCATCCTTCCTACAGACCCATAGTACCTGAGACCGGGGAATCCACTCGCCAGGCACTGCTGCAGGAATGGGAATTGCTGCAATCCATTGGCAGATCCTGGGAAAGCATTGCTATGTGGAACTACCGCTTCAGGTGAGCAACCTGGAGCAACATGGATCATCCTGCTCCAGGTGAGCATTCTGCTCCGGGTGAGCATCCAGGAGCATCCCTCCTGCACAGTGGGACTGCAGCCCCTGGGATAACGCTGCGGTTCCCAGATAACGCTGTGGCCCCATTGGACACCCCCTCCCTCCTCTGCACAGCCTCTGCCAGTGGCGGCCCCTTTGCCGTGCCAGGGTTATGTCCCATCCTTCCAAGCGCTAGGAGGGACTTGAACCCCCTTTTACGAGCTAAAAAAAAAATCAACAAAAAACCCCCCTCACTTCCCCCTCGACCCTGCTTCCGAGATGCCCTGCAGGAATTTCACCAGGGACTCGAATCCACCCTTGAAACTGATGCTGGATCTCCTCAGGGGATTTTAGCTCTCAGCCTTTGGTTTCTCCCTCCTCCTGCACTTTCTAAGTAAAGCAACCACGACATTCCTCACTCAAATATACTGCCTTCAGTTCTGCCACATGATCAAAAAAAACATGAGAAAAATATGAGGCCAGTTACAAAATCTTGTGAAATCAGATCTGGGAACATTTGGTTATAAAATAACAAATATCAACAGAAG